TGGGTCACAGACCTTACTTTAAAAAAAGACTTAAAAAGGGAAGGGGAGAAAACTTCATTAGAGATTTGATAAGAAGTGAAACATAGCTAACCCAGGTATTTTTCTTTATTTTTCTGGTTCTGAGGGTAGATAGAGTAAATAAACTGAGCAACATTCTTTGAATGCAACTAATAGTTCAGTTGTCATACATAACCTGGAATGTACTCATAAGTAGTCCTACGGTATTTCACATCCTTCTCAGTTAGGTTCTCACTTATTACTTCTGGTTCTCCCACTTGCAACATCAGTGAACACATTTGGGAGAGGATCACCATCTTTTGTTTCATAATTCAAAACATTTTTACTTTTAGATACATAACTACCAATTGAAATGGTCATTGTAAGGAATTTTTTTTGTTTCTTAAAATGTCCATTTATCCAATTATTATATACCTCCTTTTAGCACTTGGCTCCTTAGGAACCCTATGAAATAAATCATAGCATACAGCATAATAAAACCTGGAAGATTCTTGTTATATGTAATTTTAGGGAAATGACGTAGTCCTAGTTCTGTTCTTTTTCTCTCTCTCTCTTTTTTTTTTTTTTTTTTTTTTTAGATTTTATTTATTTATTAGCAAGCAAGGAGAGTGGCAGGGAGAGGGAGAAGCAGTCTCCTGCTGAGCAAGGAGCCCGATGTGGGGCTCAGTCCCTGGACCCTGGGATCATTACATGGGCTAAAGGCAGCTACTTGAATGATTGAGCCATCCAGGCCCCCGATAGTGTTCCTTTTCATTCATTCATTCATTCATTCATTTATTTTATTTTATTTATTTTATTTGTTATTGTTGTTCCTTTTTAGTGAGAATATATTTCCTTTTTGTTCTTAGAAATACACTGTTCACTCATCAATCTCAAATTTGAGAAAATTCTTCTAGGATATGGTCCTCTTAATATCCATAGTCTGAAATTTTACTTACCCGATAAGTTTTACCATCATAATTAGAATGTCTAATGCCACTGTCTGTTTGTTTGCATTTATCTTCTGGTTTGTCTAATAATTGTGGGATGGGGGCACCTGGCTGGCTCAGTTGCTAGATCTTGGGATTGTGAGTTCAAGCCCCATGTTGGGCATAGAGCTTACATAAAAAATAGTAATAATATGGGTGCCTGGGTGGCTCAGTGGGTTGCGCCTCTCTCTACCTTCAGCTCAGGTCATGATCTCAGGGTCCTGGGATTGAGCCCCACGTCAGGCTCTCTACTTGGTGGGGAGTCTGCTTCCCTCTTTCTCTCTGCCTGCCTCTCTGCCTACTTGTGATTTCTTTCTCAAATAAATAAATAAATAAAATCTTTTTATAAAAAAATAGTAATAATAATATTGGAGTGGAAGGAGACCATGAAGATGTTGCCTCCAGACTTTACTCCCTTGAAAGGTTGTGTACTCTTTGGGGCAACACAATAAGAAAACTAAGGGTGCACTTAGTGACAGTTTATTGCACTTTTGCCTCATTCTTGTAGATGATTCCATTATTTGGTTTTCTTATTATTTTTTTGTCTTTTTTAGTATTGCTGGAAACTGAGTAATGATTAATTCCTATGATGAAATAGCAAACTTTCGAGATGATAGGTGGGGAATCACAGAGATTCTGTATTTAGATTATTTTAGATTTATGAAAGGGTCCCAATGCATCCATTCTGGTTATTGTAAGAATAGAATCTGAGCTCAGGCTGTTTTGAAAATATTTGAATAAGCCATGAGGTATCATTGCTTAAAAATAAAACTCTTCAAAAGAGAACTTCAGGGGCACCTGGGTGGCTCAGTGGGTTAAGCCTTTGCCTTCGGCTCAGGTCATGATCTCAGGGTCCTGGGATCAAGCCCTACATCAGGCTCTCTGCTCAGCAGCAAGCCTGCTCACCCCCCAGCCCCTGCCTGCCTCTCTGCCTGCCTGTGATCTCTCTTTCTGTCAAATAAATAAAATTTTTTAAAAAGAGAGAGAACTTCAAAAACCAAAGGTTTTTGACGATGAGTTGAGGGTTAAGATACGTCTTTCCTAAAGAGTGGAACCTCTTCGGGGCCAAGATAAACTTTCACAAGAATTGTTGTCTTTCTTCAGTGTTGCTTTAATGATTACAAGAGATAGATAAAATTAAATACGCACTTACATGTTCATGAAACTGTAGAGAGAGTGTGTGTGTCTTTGATGCATCAGAATTAAGAAATTTGATGAAGAGTATATTGGTACCTAGTTGAGAAACTTGAAGCACATTCATAAAGATCACAGTTTCAGTGTCACGTAATGGTTTTTGTGAACAGTTTCCTCCTTTTTCTTGCCAGTGAAGTAATCTGTATGTTGTTTTCACAGTGGCATGGCAGAGAGGAATGCTAATTTTGAAGCACTGCCTGAGGATTGGCGAGCAAGACTGAAGAGGAGGAAAATGGCTCCAAACACATAGTTTTGTGGGCAGGGGGAGTGGGTTTTTTTTGTTTTTTTTTGTTTGGTTTTTTTTTTTTTTTTTACTGATCTTTTTCTTCTTCATGTTCAGTTCAGAGTCTTCATCAGTTTTACTGTTGTCAATAAACTATAAATGTTAAGAGGGAGAGCATATGAATTTCCTGGGCAAAAGCATACATGTACAGTTTTCACATTTATGAAATGTAATGTTTCTGTTTTGCTGAAGGGTGACATTGACCGAATGCTTTGACATGGCTGCCTTTATTCTCACACTGGCAAGCTCATTGTATCAGGTACATTAATCTCATCAATCTGGAACATGTGATTCAGGAGTATGATACCTCAGTAGAGCACTCGCTGACAAAAAGTGAAGGATTTTCTGTCTCATAGAGTCTCATTTAGTTCCTAGTGCGGCTCTCTCTCATTAACTTCTATCCAGAACAAGTGCAATTAAGAAGGCAGCTCTGTATTCTGTTTTGCTTAACTGGGATTATCCGAATCTCTGACCTCTTCTAGCCTGCCACTCCTGAAGTGCTGAGGTATATCGAGGTGTTTCTCTTGTGCTGACAGACCGCCACACTCTCTAGAGATCTCTTTTTCAAAAATTCTAGAACTGGTAGCTCAGTCATTTCACGTACCAGTGGCGTTACTCATATTTCAATACAGGCAGCAGCAGGTGTTCGTATCTTTAATTTTGAGGATTTCCCCCTCATATGTGTGGCAGTAAATGTAACAAGAGCCACTGTATGTATTAATGTGTCTCCATTGTCTCACCTTATTCCAAAATTCACCTCCCTTTTATGTGAATGTACTCTCCATAAAATTCCAGTATTTAAAAAGCAGTTTACTGTTCTGTACTTTCTATTGTATCACAATCAGGTAAAAGTCACTTTAAACTGAAGAAACAGCAAATTGTGTTTTAAAGCTGTTTGTATTTCTCCAGTTTCTGGCCTTGTAAATTTGTATATATGCTCTAATAAAGCTTTTTTTATACTTCTGATTGGTTATCCTTTTGCTGTTCTAAGGCTATTATTTCATGATTGTGTAATCAAGACTTGTTTTAAGTCCAGTCTTAATTGTTTTTTCTTCCAAATACAGCAGAAGGCATGTGTGAACACTGAAGAACAGCCCTCGGGAAAAAGAAGAGCCGCAGGGTCTTGAGTCAGTGGGGGTGAGAGTGGCGGTGGGGACAGGGTTTTGGCACCAGAAGGTGCTAAGACTTGTATTTTGGAGCTTGCACTCTATAATATTAGCTAATGTTTGACCTAAAATCCTGGAAACGATGTTATGTGTTTTTGAAGATGGACTTTTCCCCTATTTATAAAGGTAATCTCTACTTTGGTTATGTTCATATAAAGCTAACCAAAGACAACAATTAATAGTTTGAATTTTATTCCAATCTATTTATATGCATGTAAGTAAGAAGTCATGTATTTCTTTTACCATTATGCAGGTGTTGGGGTGACATTTTGTATACAAACTTGTAATTTGCGTAGAGCAAATTTGTAGAAATAAAGGCTACCGACTAGCAATTAAAGCTTTTGCTTTAACTATCTAGCAGTTTTCTAGACTTTTAGGAACTGCTGCAGAGCACCAGTACCTTTGGCATTATCTTCTTCTTCTTCTTTTTTTTTTTTTTTTTTTTTTTGTTAAAGAACAGAGTGAGGGAAAGAATTTGAGTAGGGGAGAGGCAGTGGGAGAGGAAGAACCTGGCTCCTGGCTGAGCAGGGAGCCCAATGTGGGGCTCCATCCCAGGACCCTGGGATCATGACTGAGCGCCCAGGTGCCCCCATTTGTTACTATCTTAACATAATGGAGCACTTTGATGTCTGACAATTTGATGGTCAAAATGTGTATTTTTCAAATCTATCTATGGGGTGGTGAGATAAAACTTTAAAGCGGAGGAGAAAAAGCTCCCTTTGAGCAACACCTGACAGTTAACCTAAGGCTAAGGAATAGCAAAGAAGTTTGGGATTTTTTTTTTTAAGATTTATTTTTTACTTTTTTAAAGATTTTTATCAGAGCACAAGCAGGGGGAGTGGCAGGCAGAGGGAGAAGCAGTGTCCCGCCTAGCAAGAAACCCTGTTTGGGACTCAATCCCAGGACCTGAGCCAAAGGCAGACGCCTAACAACTGAACCACCCAAGAGTCCCAACATTGAGAGAGCACGAAAGGGAAGGGCAGAGGGAGAGAGAACCCTATGCACACTCGGGGAGCCTGAGCCAAGGCAGGGGTTGATCTTGCGACCTGAGCCCAAGCCAAGAAACAGATGCTTAAGGAATTCGGAATATTTTCATGGACCACTAACTGTCATTGTATTCACCAATCCAATTTCGATGCCCCATAAGCGGGGCTGCAATACGACCTGAAAGGAACAATGCGTCTGAAAAACGGGTCTGGCCGCACTGCTGAACATTTCCCAAGATCACACCCAGGCGCCGGGGGCGGGGCCTCGCTCCCCGGAAGAGTCCCGCCGTCCTACCCTCCGCTTCCGCCTCGAGGTTGCTAGGCTACCGGGACCCTAGCAGAAAGCTGTGGCGGGCGAGCGCCAGGAGCGTGTTCTCTGAGCGCTGCGAGGCTCGGCAGCCGTCCCTGCTGTGCGGTGGCCTCCCGCCTCGCTTAGGCTTCTCTGCTGCCGCAGGCGTCGCGCACACCCCTGTTGCCCCAGACGGGCCGGGGAGCGGAGGCGGTCGCACCCTTCCTTCTGCCCTCCTAGGAAATCTCTACACCTCCTCTCCGACTCTTCAGGGAAACTCCCTCACCACCTTCCCCGGCACCAGGAAGCCCTGAAACCCTGAATTCCATTTTCAGGGCCCGCTATCCGGGCCCGTGACCTTTCTTTTTTTATCTACTCCGAGGTAACTCGGTCGGATCCCTCCATCTCCATTTCTTTCACGTTCCTTTCGCGTCCTGGTCGGGGTATCTCCCTCCTCCGAGAGGGGAGCATGGGAGCAGCAAGCGTCCCGGCGCCTCGGGAGGCGCAGACTGGAAGACAAGCCCCCCTCCCTCATTCCTCAGGTATGCCTCGGGCCCTCAAGAGTAGGAACCAGTAGCCCAGTGCTTGTACGTTTAAGAGGCTGGATTGGCTGAGACAGGGTTTCTTAAAGTCGCGTAAGAGCCGCGCAGGTGGAGGAGGATGGGGTGAAATCGGCAGTGTTTTTTTCAGTTGTCCTGTTCTGGTTTTTTAGCTTCTGTGTAATCAGCTGCCCTTCTGGAAACTGGGCAGGGCTTGTGGCTGGATGCCGGTGTCCCTGACTTGTCTTCAGCATACCGTGCAGAAGTAACATGTTCTCAGCATTGGAAACAGAGCTAACGCAGGAGGTCGGTACACCCCCCTCTCCAGGAAGTCCACAGAAATCCAATACTACTAGATCAGAAGGTATATTCTGGTGGCACCTTTTTCTAGCAGGAGATCTTGATCCCCAAGATAGAATAGTTTGCATGAATGTCTTTCAGTTGGTTTGTTTACAGAAGTCCTCACAAACTCAAGAACTGTTGTCCTTTGCAAAGATTTTTGTGTGCCTTTTGTTAAAAGATTTCAGAATTCTTTGAAAGGACTTTCCTGATTGATTCGGCTTTTGCTTTCACAGACTCTTCCTGATCCCTATGAAGACTTTATGTACCATCATCTTCAATACTATGGCTATTTTAAAGGTAATAAATATCACATTCTTACCTAGCATCACCTTTCCTGCCTTCATGGAGTAAATGGTTAGATTAACTGGAGAGTTACTCTCGGATAAATTAATGATGGTTCTTCTAGCACCAGGGAAAGATGAAGGGAAGTGAAAAGTACTTCATTATTGATCTGCTTTGTCACTTCTCTTGAGTGCCTGTGTATACAAGGGTCTGTCTATCCTTGTACCAATACCACCACCCTTTCTTAATTACACTATATGGCATTAAATAGTCTTGATAATCTGGAAAGACATGTCCTCCATCTGTTCTTCGGAAGTATCTTCGCCATTCTTGCCTTTAACATGTAATTTCAGAATTAGCTTGTGATGTTTAAGAAATTGGAATTGCATTGAATCTACAGATCAAATTTCACAAGAAATGAGAGTTTTCCAATACTGGGTTCTGCAATCTCTTTTTTATTTTCATTGTGGGGGGTATTCTGCAACCTATGAATATACTCTAGTTCTACATTTACAAAGATCTTGCTTAATATCTCCCAATAAAGATTTATAATTTTTTCATGGAACTTCATATTATTATGTCACTGTAAATGGTATCTCTTTATATTTTTATTTTCTAACTTTGTTCCTGGTATTTAGAAATAAAATTAAGTCTCGGTATTGATTTTCTTTCTATCAACCTTATTAAATTTTCTTACTATTTCATTTTGAAAGTGATTGCTAATTTGTTGAAAACTGAATTTCCAGTTTGCCAGATTCAGCAGAGCCCTCAAGACAAAGCAGCTTTGGGCACCTTGCTCTTTCCACCCCACCATGCTGCTTCTCAAGTCTCTCCTCACTGTAAAATGGAGAATATGTGCTTAACTCACGGAAATCAGAATATGAAAGCTCTTTAGAAAATGGGATGTATTCTTTGTAAAGACCTGTGGTGGTGATGGGTAGTAACAGAAGTAGTGGCAGTTTTGGTAGTAGTAGCGGTTTGGGTATTGACCTAGATGTTACAGGCGATGAAGCGGCCTTCCAGCACTTTTAATTACATTGTGTATTTGTAGCTCAGAGAGGCAGTTTACCAAACTCAGCCACGCACCAGCATGTTTGGAAGAATAATCCTCGCTACCTGGTGAGTGGCTCTTTTGGGGAAAGAGAGGATGTGATACCAGACCCGCTGCAAAAGGAGAAGCTACTATGTGAGTAATGGTCAGTGTGTATGAGCCCCAGAAACCTCACTGCCTTGAGCCACTTCTTGGGGTATTCGGGAGAACATGGCCTAACACGGGGAAAGCCAGAGGAGTAGCCTTGGCCAGTTTCTGACATCACTCAAAAATGTTATACCTAGATCCACTTTGGATTACAGGTTTATTTCATTTTATTTTATTTTTTAAAGATTTTATTTATTTGTTAGAGTGAGAGAGAGCACAGGCAGGCAGAGTGGCAGGCAGAGGCAGAGGAAGAAGCAGGCTCCCCACTGAGCAAGGAGCCCCATGCGGGACTAGATCCCAGGATCTAGGAACATGACCTGAGCCAAAGGCAGCCACTTAACCGACTGAGCCACTGGGGCATTCCTGGATTATAGGTTTAAATTAAAATACTATACATTCCAGATTACTTTTCTTCAAATTATGGGAAACTTTGTTAAGACATCGTGGTCAAGAATAGCACACTGATTTTTACACAATTGTGGCGGGTATATTTGTTAAGGCACTTTGTGTAAGAGTGGTGGAAACCAATTTCAGCTAGCTTAAAAATAATTAAAAAAAAAATATATATATATATTTATATAATATATTTATATATGTATGTATATATGTATTTAAAGACCAAGAAGTGGGGGCAGAGGGAGAGGAACAAGCAGACTTCCCACTTGGATTGGAGTTCAAAGCAGGGCTTGATCCCTCAACCCTGAGATCATGATTTGAGCTGAAACTGAGAGTTGGACAGTCAACCGACTGAGCCACCCAGGCAACCCCGAAAAATAATTTTTCACAAGGATTTCAGAAGTTCCCCTGGAATCTAAAGGCAGGAGTACAGATGAATTTCTCCCTCAATATATAACCGTCCAAACATCACAATTCACTTTTCCCCATATCCTCCCTAATCCCAGTTCAGGCTGCCATCATTTCTCACTGTTGAAACAGCCTCAATAATTGGTCTCCTGAATTCTTCTCTTGTTTCATGCTAACCCCTTTCAAGCCATTTTCCACACAGCATTATTCTTTTTTATGTGCAAATCTGATTGTGTCCTTTTTCCAGTTAAAACCTTTGAATGGTGGCGCCTGGGTGGCTCAGTGGGTTAAACCTCTGCCTTCAGCTCAGGTCATGATCCCAGCATCCTGGGATCGAGCCCCGCATCGGACTATCTGCTCAGCAGGGAGCCTGCTTCCTCCTCTCCCTCTCTGCCTGCCTCACTGCCTACTTGTGATCTCTGTCTGCGAAATAAATAAATAAAATCTTAAAAAAAACAAAAAAAAACCTTTGAATGACACAAAACCCAAAAGCCATAAAGTACCGTTAATAAAGCAAAATAACAAACTTTAAAAAAAGGTTGTGACAGATATGTCAAAGGATTATTTTCTTTAATATAGTAGCTCTAATAAGTCAATATATAAAAGGTGGCCAAATACAAAGGTGGGCAAAAGACATGAGCAAGCTTTTCGTAAAAATAAACACAGTCGGGGTACATGGGTGGCTCATTTGGTTGTGTGTCTGACTCTTGGTTCCTGCTTAGGTCATGATTTCATGGGTCATGGGATTGAGCCCTGCGACAGACTCTGTGCTTTTTGGGGCTCTGCTTGGGATTCTCTCCCTCTGCCCCTTCTGCATGCATGCGTGCATGAGTGGGAGCTCTCTCTTTCTAAAATGAATAAATAAATATTTTAAAAAACACACACAATTGGGGTGCCTGGGTGGCTCAGTCATTAAGCGTCTGCCTTCGGCTCAGGTCATGATCCTAGGGTCCTGGGATGGAGCCCCACATCAGGCTTCCCGCTCAGCAGGGAGTCTCCTCCCTCTCCCTCTCTGCCTGCTGCTCTGCGAACTTGTGCTCTCTTGGTATGTCTCTGTTAAGTAAATAAAAATCTTTAAAGAAAAGTATGTTAAAAACCACACACACACACACACACACACACACACACAGTCAATAAGCTTATGAAAAGATGCTCAATTTCACCTCTAATTAAAGATACAAACCAAATTGTCAAGGTGCCATTTTTTTAACTAATGGGATTTGAGCAAAAATAATTTTCCAATTACACCTATACATATAGGTCAGGGTATGGGGGAGCACTCTCCTACACTGCTTAGGGCTGTGGATGGGTCGACTACTTTAGGAAGACAATTTGGCAATATTTGGGAAATTTTCTTTTTTTTTTTTTTTTTCTAAAGATTTTATTTATTTATTTGAAACAGAGAGAGAGAGATCACAAGTAGGCAGAGAGGCAGGCATAGAGAGAGAGGAGAAAGCAGGCTCCCCACTAAGCAGAGAGCCCGATGTGGGCCTCGATCCCAGGACCCTGAGATCATGACCTGAGCCGAAGGCAGAGGCTTAACCCACTGAGCCACCCAGGCGCCCGGGAAATTTTCTTATTAGAAATTTCTGCGTAACCCTTGATGCAGTAATTCCATTTTCAGATGTTTGCCCACAGCCCAGTGCCCTGAAGGCTCTTCCATTCTGTGTCCCACAGCTCCTGGCAGGGAGTAGAAAGGCAGGGGTTGAGCAAAGGAAACTCATCTGGGTAGGATGGCTTATGAGCCAGCTGATTGCCCCTCTTCCGTTTCCTCCTGCCACATTTACTGACACTCAAGATAATAATAAGAAATATTTGCAAGCCTCAATATCATAAACACCATGAAATTCAAAATCCGCTGGTAGAGGTAACAAAATGTGAATGAGTTTTAGTGTGTAGTAAATGATAGGGCTTCTTTTATTCATGTTTTGCTCATTGGCATGAAGAAGATTTTTTTTTAAAGATTTTATTTATTTGATAGAGACACAGTGAGAGAGGGAACACAAGCAGGGGGAGTAGGAGAGGGAGAAGCAGGCTCTCGCCAAGCAGGAGCCCGATGTGGGGCTCGATCTCAGGACCCTGGGGCCATAACCTGAGCGAAGGCAGATGCTTAATGACTGAGCCACCCAGGCGCCCCAGAAGATTTTTTTTTTTATCATATTTGAAGCAAAGCATTTTTTTTTAAAGATTTTATCTATTTATTTATTTGAGAGAGAGAGAGGGCACGAGCTGGGGGAGGAGGGTCAGTGGGAGAGGGAGAAGCAGACTCTTGGCTGAGCAGGGAGCCAGACATGGGGCTTGATCCCAGGACCGTGGGATTGTGACCTGAACCGAAGGCAGATGCTCAACCAACTAAGCCATCCAGGTGCCACGCAAAGTGTTTTTGTTTTGTTTTGTTTTTAAGATTTTATTTATTTATTTGAAAGAGAGGCAGTGAGAGAGAGCATGAGCGAGAAGAAGGTCAGAGGGAAAAGCAGACTCCCCGTGGAGCTGGGAGCCCGATGCGGGACTCGATCCCGGAACTCCGGGATCATGACCTGAGCTGAAAGCAGTCGTCCAACAAACTGAGCCACCCAGGTGTCCCCAAAGTGTTTTTTTTTTTTTTAAAGATTTTATTTATTTTAGAGAACGTGAGCAGGGAGAAGGGCAGAGGGAGACAGAAAATCTTAAGCAGACTGCATGCCCAGGACAGGGCTTGAGGTGGGGCTCAATCCCAGGACCCTGAGATCATGATCTGAGCCGAAATCAGGAGTCCAATGCTCAACTGACTGAGCCACCCAGGTGCCCCAGCAAAGCATTTTTTTTTTTTAAGATTTATTTATTTAATTTAGAGAGTGGGGAGAGAGAGAGAGAGAACAGGAGCACGAGGGGTAGTCAGGGAGAGAGAATCTCATGCAGACTCCCTGCTGGTCATGGAGCCTGATCCCTCAGATCGACCTGAGCCAAAATCAAGAGTCTGAGACACCCCAGCACCCCACCAGTTTGCCTTCTTGCCAGCAGGTTCTTAGAGTACCTGTTTACTTACACCTGTGTAGGGATGAATGTGAAAACACACAAATGATTTTCCTGTCTGTTAGGTAGTAAACTAGTATCTCCTTATCATACTGGTTTACAGTTCTTTATGAGGGGATTGGAGCAATTTTACCATCTTTTCAAATGATTATTGTTCCCTCCCCCCATTAAACTAGGGAAAAGATTAAGAGATAGAAAAAATAGAGCCCTGAAATTTAAAAAAAAAATTTTTTAAGAAAAGACAGGTATCTGGGTGGCTCAGTGGGTTAAGCCTCCAACTCTTGATTTCGGCTCAGGTCTTAATCTCAGGGTCATGAGATCAAGCCCTGCCTTGGGCTCTGCCCGCAGCATGGAGTCTTATTGTCCCTCTCCCTCTGCTCCTCCCCACCACCACAGGCTCTCTAAAATAAATTAATAAATAAATCTTTTTCTTTTTTTTTTTTTTTTTTTTAATTTTAAAGAAGGAATGAGGGCACCTGGGTGGCTCATTCGGTTAAACGTCTGCATTTGGCTCAGGTCATGATCCCAGGGTCCCAGGTCCCTGCTTAGCAGGGAGTCTGCTTCTCCCTTTCCCACGCAACCCCCGCTCCATCACGCCCTTGTGTGCTCGCTCTCTCTCTCTCAAATAAATAAAATCTTCAAAAAAAAAAAAAAAAGGAAAGAAAGAAAAGGATAAATGGGGCCCTAACTCAGGGTTGGGGGGGTGGTCAGTGAAAGGGATAGGGAAAGAGAGCAGAGAAAAAAAGTCACAGATCCTTAGGACAAACCGTGCCTCTTCCTTCCTTTTTCTAGGGCCCACCTGTCTACCTTCCACTGTGCACAGACAGATAGAGGCTGTGAGCAGAGGTATTCCTTGTCCTTCCAGACCTGAAAACTCAAACTGCTTTCTGGGAGTTGTCTTCACTCACTGTTCTCCCCGCCAGATCTTGCACTCCCACACCCAGGGACCTTCTTCCTTTCCTCCCTCTCACCTTTCCTTTCTTTTCCTTCTTCCTCTCATTTGCCTTCTTGTTCTCTGCCCTGGAAGCCTCTTTTCCTCCCTTTTTTCTCATTCTGTTTCCCAAGAGCTCATCTTTCTCTCCTGCCCTGCTCACCTCCCTCCCTTCCCGTTGGCCCCCTCTTCATTAGTCTCTCTGTCCTCCCAACCACTGTTTTTTGATCTTGAAAATTAATTTGTAGATTGTTTCACTGTAGTTAATAAGCCTTAGGTATTTTTCTCTAAAATGCTAATGGGTGAAATAAGTTTCCTCTTTTGCCTCTCTCTAAGCAAAAATAATATGACATTGTTTGATTTAAAAGACAAAAATTGGGGCTCCTGGATGGCTCAGTGGGTTAAGCCTCTGCCTTTGGCTCAGGTTATGGTCTCAGAGTCCTGGGATCAAGCCCCTCCTTGGGCTCTCTGCTCAGCAGGGAGCCAGTTTCCCCTCTCTGCCTGCCTCTCTGCCTACTTGTGATCTCTATTTATAATAAATAAAATCTTAAAAAAAAAAAGACAAAAATTTTCGGGGCACCTGGGGGTCTAAGTCGTTGGGCATCTGCCATTAGCTCAGGTCATGATCCCAGGGTCCTGGGATCAAGCCCCACGTGGAGCTCCCTGCTCATTGGGGAGCCTGTTTCTCCCTCTCCTTCTGTCCCTCTCCCTGCTTGTGCTCTCTCTCTCTCTCTCTCTCTCTCTCTCTCTCTGTCAAATAAATAAATAAAATCTATTTTTTAGAAGATTTTATTTATTTATTTGACAGACAGAGATCACAAGTAGGCCAAGAGGCAGGCAGAGAGAGAGGAAGAGAAGCAGGCTCCCCGCTAAGCTGAGAGCCCAATGTGGGGCTTGATCCCAGGACCCTGGGATCATGACCTGATCTGAAGGCAGAGGCTTTAACCCACTGAGCCACCCAGGCGCCCCTAAATAAAATCTTAAGGAAAAAAAAATACAAAAAATTTTCTTTGAGCTTTACATTTAAATATTTAATAGACTACACAAAATGTTAATGTAACTTTTTGTAATTTCGATGCTGTAATCCTAGACTGAATCTTCTGTTTAAAGGAGACACAAGTCTAGGATTGTGCCCCTGTGCTCATATTCTAATACAGTGCTTCAAGTTAGTCATCATGGTTGAACAGCCAAGTCCCCAGAGAGGAAAAGAGAGCCATTCACTCATTCCCTTTCCCCTTGCAGATTCCCTCATGCTTGGTTCACCACTTAAGAGCAGACAACTTCTTCATGATGAATTTGGAGAAGTAAAGCCATGTCTTCGAGAACCACGAGACCTCTTTGCCTTCTTCTCCAGCAGCGGGCCACTGCAGGCTCCAAGATGGCCAATAGAATGTGAGGTCATCAAGGAAAGCCTTTGTCATATCGGTAATGTGACTTATGTGTCGTGGTACTGCTGTTCTGACAGACATTGTTTTTTTTAAAACAAAGATTTTATTTATTTAGTTGACAGAGAGAACACAAGCAGGGGAGAATTAGGCAAAGGGAGAGGGAGAAGCAGGCTCCCCGCTGAGCAGAGAGCCTGCTGTGGGCCTCCATCTCAGAACCCCACGATCATGACCCAAGCTGAAGGCAGACGCTTATCCAACTGTGCCACCCAGTCGGTGGCACAGTCCTGAAATGATTAAGCCCTGGGAAACTGATACATACTGATCAAAATAAGAAGTTACACTACTGTGTAAACTCAGATGCTTCTGAGGTTATTGGAATGGGAGGATATCTTTCTAGAGGCCAAAATACATCAATACTTAAATCTGTTTTCTAGTATTCCTGTCTCAGTATTAATATGGTTGGTTGAGTTTTATGAGTTGTATTTTTACCAGCCTTGGTATAACTGATGAATACTATATGTACCAGAACATAGTGGTTATTGTTTTTAATTGTATTTCAAGTTTGTTGGAGTTTTTTTTAATGGGAATGGTGGAGACTATTTTTGTGAGATTGCTGGTTATATCTCTGAGCTATTGGTGGTGCAGGTACAACCTTTAGCATTCATTATATGAGGCAGTTCTAAGGTGGTTCCATTGAAAAGTGGAGACTTTTCTAAAGGCTGGAACACTTGTGCCTATCAAGCACTGTGTCTCTGTTTTAGACTGCTAGATAAACAACTGGATGTTTCTTACTTTCACACTTCCCTCTTATGCTATTCATTCAGTATGTATTCATTAAGCCTCTGCTGTATGGTATGTACAGCACTCATGTTATAGAATGATGATGAACAAGATGGAGACACCCAGAGTTCGCGTACTGGTAGGGATGCTGAAGATATACGGAGGGCATTGCCTAGAGTTTGGTCCCTCTAGGAACACTTAACCTGAGCCTGGAAGATTAGGGAGGGTTTCTGAGGAGTTGACATGTAAGTTGAGATCTGGTAAGTTACAAGTGATCCAACTGAGAGAAAATATTCCAGTTAGAGGACATGCAAGAAGAGCCTGGCCTGTCTGAGCAACCAGGGAGCACTGAGCATGAAAGACAAGAGCTAAAGCTGAAAATATAGGGATGTGCTCAACATCTTAACTGGGCACAGAACTGCTCTTTAGGTGTTTGAAAATCTGGCGGAGGGATGGCATTTTGAGTTGGTACAATAGCTGAGAAGTCCTAAGAGCATTTGTCCCTACCCTGGACAATTTTTGAATTAAAGTCCAAGTTGATCTGGACGAACAGTGGGATTTTGCTATTCCTATATAAAATAGGCAAAGAAAATTCCTGTGAGGATTTTAGACTCAGTTCCAAGAGAGGGGAAAAAGTGGGAAACTGGAATTTAATAATCACATTATTGCAGGGGTAATCCACTAAAGCATGAGATTTTTTTTTTTTAAAGTAAACTCTATGTTCAACATGGGACTTGAACTCACCACCCAAGATCAAGAGTTGCATTCTCTACTGACGGAGCCAGCCAGACACCCTAGCACTAGATCTTTTAAAAAGATCATTTAAAAATACACTTATTTTTTTAATTTCAAGGAAATTTAATAACAAGCACCTTAAGGTTTCAGCCAAATTGACAGCCTCATCACTCCCTATCACCTTAAAGATAAGAATTTAGCATTGTTTTATTACTGAGCTGTGCCTTTATTATTTGTTCTTTTTTTTTTTTCTAAGCTCAGCCAATCAGAAGATAACATTAGAAGCAGTAAAAAAAAAAAATTTAAGGACAGATTTTGGAGTAATTCCAGTGAGGTTCTGGGCCCAGATCTACCTACTAACTGAATGACCTTGAGCTAGTTATTTTTTTTAAATTCAGGTTTATTTAAACTGAAAAAACAGGGGTGCCTAAGTGGCTCAGGTAGCTGAGCATCTAACTCTTGATTTTAGCTCAGGTTATTATCTCAGGGTCGTGAGGTTGATGCCCACATCAGGCTCTCTGCTCAGCGGGAATCTGAGATTCTCTCTCTCCCTCTGCTCCTCCCCCTGAAATAATAAATAAATAAATCTTGAACTGAAGAAACAAAAACAATTCACCCATTTCTCCTATCCACCTCTGGCAACCACCAATGAGCTTGTTTTTTTTTTTTGTTGTTGTTGTTGTTTTGTTTTGTTGTTTGTTTTTTGAATCCAGTGTGTAAGAGAAATCATACAATATTTGCTTTTCTCTGTCTTATTTCACTTACCATAATGTCCTCAAGGTCTGTCCTTATTGTTAGAAATGACAAGATTTCATTCTTTTTTATAGATGAATAATATTTCATTGTATATTTATACCACAATTTCCTTATCCATTCATTCATTGATGAACACTTATGTTATTTCCATATCTTTGCTATTGTAAAGGATGCTGCAGTGGGGGTACACGTACCTTTTTGAGTTAGTATTTCCATTTTCTTCAGATCAATACCCACAAATAGAATTGCTGGGTCATATGGTAGTTCAATTTTTGATTTTTTGAGGAACCTCCATACTATTTTTCCATAGTGGCTGTACTAACCTAATTTCCAACACAAGGGTTCCCTTTTCTCCATATCCTTGCTAAAACTTGTTATTTGTAAGTGTAAATAACACTTGTTATTTTGTGTGTGTAATTTTTTTATAGATTTTTTTTTTCATTTAGTTTTTTTTTTAATCTCAGGGTCGTGAGTTCAAGCCCCATGGTGAAAAAAAAATCAGGGGTGGGGCGCCTGGGTGGCTCAGTTGGTTAAGCGTCTGCCTTCTGCTCTGGTCGTGGTCCCGGAGTCCTGGGATCGAGCCCCACATCGGGCTCTCTGCTCGGCGGGGAGCCTGCTTACCCCTCCCTCTCTCTGCCTCTCTGCTACTTGTGATCTCTGTCTCTCTCTATCAAATAAATAAATAAAATCTTTAAAAAAAAAAATCAGAGGTGCCTGGATGGCTCCATTGGTTAAGTGTCTGCCTTCAGCTCAGGTCACGATCCCAGAGTCCTAGGAAGGGAGCCTGCTTCTCTCTCTGCCTGCCACTCCCCCTGCTTGTGCTCTCTTCTCTGACAAATGAATAAATAAAATCTTTTTTTAAAAAATGAAAAAAAAAAAAAAATGAAGTCTCCAGCTTTGTTCTTCTCTCAAGATTCCTTTGGCTATTCAGAGTCTTTATGGTTCCATAGAAATTTTAGGATTATTTGTTCTATTTCTATGAAAATGCCATTGGACATTTAAAAAATATTAAGTCTTCCAATCCATGAATATCTTTTCACTTATTTGTATCTTCTTTAATTTCTTTCATTAACGTCTTACAGTTTTCAATATACAACTTTTTCACCTCCTTATTTAAATTTATTCCTGGGAATTTTATTCTTTTGATAAAATTGTAAATGAGATTGTTTCCTTATCTTATGTTAACTATCTTTCTGATAGTTCATTACTAGTGTATAAACATGCAACATATGTTTGTGTATTGATTTTGTATCTTGCAACTTTACTGAATTTATTTATTTTAACGATTTTTCGATCAAGTTTAATGGGGCGCCTGGGTGGCTCAGTGGGTTAAGCCTCTGCCTTCAGCTCATGTCATGATCTCAGGGTCCTGGGATCGAGCCCTGCATCGGGCTCTCTGCTCAGCAGGGAGCCTGCTTCCTCCTCTCTCTCTACCTGCCTATCTATCTACTTCTGATCTCTCTCTATATCAAATAAATAAAATCTTAAAAAAAAAGTCTGTAGTGTTTTTTGCATGTCATGTAATCTGCAAATAGTAACAGTTTGACAGTTTTACTCATTCCTTTCCAATTTGGATGACTTTTATTTCTTTTTCTTGCCTAATTGCTCTAGCAAGGACTTAAAATTCTATGTTGAATAGAAGTGGCTAGAGTCGGCATCTTTGCCTTGTTCCCGATCTTAGAAGATAGGCTTTCAGCTTTTACATTTTGTTTTTAAGGTTTTATTTATTTATTTGTCAGAGAGAGAGAGAGAGAGAGAGAGAGAGAGAGAGGCAGGACTCGACCCCAGGACCTTGGGAACATGACCTGAGCTGAAGGCAGGTCTTCACTGACTGAGCCACCCAGGCATCCCACAGCTTTTTACATCTGAGTATGCTTTTAGCTATGGACTTTTCATATATGGCCTTTACTATGTTGAGGTTCCCTCTATACTCACTCTGTTGAGTTTTTATCATAAATGGATGTTGAATTTTGCCAAATGTTTTTTTTTTTTTGCATCTATCAAAATGATTATATGATTTTTACCCTTCATTTTTTGACTGTGGTATATCACATTAACTAATTTGCAGAAGTTGAACCATCTTTGGATCCCTGGAATAAATACCATTTGATCAGGTATATAATCCCTCTAATGTATTATTAAATTTCAGTTGTGTTTTTGTATGCCCTTGGTGTTCATCAATGACTACTGTACTTAAAATAATACTGAGAAGTTGCCCAAGTCTCATATAAGAAATTTTTAGAATTGAGTGTTAATGAAAAAATTTTGTTTCCCCTGAAATAATTGATATACTTGTTCCTCTATAGTAATAAAGAAGTACGTAGCTAAACTTATTTTCCTGACTTTAAAAAGAAGCTCGGCACACCTGGCTGGCTCCATCAGTGGAGCATACAACTCTTGATCTCTTGATCTTGGGATTGTGAGTTCAAGGCCCATGATGGGTGTAGGGATTACTTAAAAATACAATCTTAAAAAAATAAAAAATAAAAATAAATTAAAAGTAGCTCAGGGCCAAATTTTAGAGAGTTGTTATAGGTCAACTATATTGACCTTTCTGGCTTATTTTTAACTCTTCTATTTAAAGTTTATACTTTTGTTGTATATGCTTTTTGTTAAAAATCATCTCATAGTGTGTATGGAAAGAAGCAAGACATAAATTTACAAACAAATCGGAAACTTGGGGTGGGATTTGGTTTGATTCAACCAAACTAGTCACTTGAATAATAATTATTATAATTGTATATTACTTTTGGATAAAGTACCTTTTATATTATTTCTTATTTTGTGCTTTTTAATGTTTTCTTTCAGAGTGGGTTCCACCTCAACCAGAATATTTCTATCAACCTACAGGAAATGAAAAATTACCAGAAATTGTAGGAGAAGAAAAAGGCACAGTTGTCTATCAATTAGATTCAGGTATTGTTATTTACACTGAACAGTCAGTGATTAATCATGACAAAATTATAATAAACATGTTTTCTGTAATAACAGTGGTTTTTAAAAATCTGTAGTTTAGTGATAAATAAACAGTCTTTCCAAACCAACCTAAATAGGAACCCTGATATTCATGGCCAGTCAGCTTTAAAATTTCAGTTGTTTTTTTAAAATGATGGTATTACGTCTTAAGAGTTTTAAGCCCAGGGAACCTGGGTCGCTCAGTTGTTAAGCATCTGCCTTTGGCTCAGTTCATAATCCCAGAGTCCTGGGATCCAGCCCTGAATCGGGCTCCCTGCTCAGCTGGAAGCCTGCTTCTCCCTCTCTCACTCCCTCTGCTTGCGTTCCCTCTCTCACTGTGTGTTTCTTTGTCAAATAAATAAATAAAATCTTAAAAAAAAAAAAAAAAGAGGGGCACCTGGGTGGCTCAGTGGGTTAAACCTCTGCCTTCGGCTCTGGTCATGATCTCAGGGTCTTGGGATCAAGCCCTGCATCGGGCTCTCTGCTCAGCAGGGAGCCTGCTTCCCCCTCTCTCTCTGCCTACTTGTGATCTCTCTCTCTCTCTCCCTCTGTCAAATAAATAAATAAATAAAATCTTAAAAAAAAAAAAAAAGAGTTCTAAGCCCATTTTAGAGCTTCTTCTGTGTCATTCCCCTTCCTAAAAATCAGATATTGGATATTCGGGGAACTTGCTCTTCTTTTCTCCATCTCTGTGTGTACTTTAGTGATTACTTTGTAGTATGTGCATATGACTATCATTTCCTATGTGGTTAATTAATTTCCATTAATTTGTAGGCTTCTTACAAGTAGAATCCACATCTTTTTTTTTTTTTTTTTTTTTTAGAATCCACATCTTTTAAAAAAATGTGTAGAACAGCAATAGCAAAATATACATTCTTTTCAAAGACACATGGTACATTCCCCAGGATACATTATATGCTAGGTGGTAAAGCAAGTCTTAATACACTTTAAAAAATTGAAATCATATAAAATATATTCTCTGACCACAATAAAATTGAATTAGAAATCAACAACAGTGGGCGCCTTGGTGGCTCAGTTGGTTGAGCGTCCTACTCTTGGTCTCAGCTCGGGTTTTGATCTCAGGATCATGGGTTTGAGCCCCATGTTGTGTTCCATGCTGGGCTTGGAACTTACTTAAAATTTAATCAACAACAGGGGGCGCCTGGGTGGCTCAGTGGGTTAAAGCCTCTGTCTTCGGCTCAGGTCATGATCCCAGGGTGCTGGGATCGAGCCCCGCATCAGGCTCTCTGCTTGGCAGGGAGCCTGCTTCCTCCTCTCTCTCTGCCTACCTCTCTGCCTCCTTGTGATCTCTGTCTGTCAAATAAATAAATAAAATCTTAAAAAAAATCAACAACAGAATGAAATCTGGGAAATGGACAAATATTTGGAAATTGAACAGCACGTTTCTAAGTAACCCATGGGATAAAGAAATCATAAGGAGAATTTAAAAATGTTTTAAACTGAGTGAAAATAAAATGACATATCAAAATTTTAAAGGATGCAGCTAAGCACTGCAAGGTAAACATATGGCTTTAAATGCCTATATTTGAAAGGAAGAGAGATCTCAAATCAATTACCTAAGCTTTCACATTAATAAATTAGAAAAATAAGCACAAACTAAGTCCAAAGCAACCAGAGGGAAGGATATAAAAAAGATAAGGATGGGAATCAGTGAAAATGGAAAACAGGAAAATAATCTGGAAAATCAAACCAAAAATTGGTTCTTTGGAAACATCAACAAAATTGACAAAACTGTAGCTAGACCAACCATGAAAAAAGAAGAGGAGATACAAATTACCAAGATCAGGATTGAGAGGGGACAGAAACATCAAATCTACAAAAATCAAAAGAATTACAAGGTACAACTTAATGCCAACAAATTAAACAACATAGAAGAAGGGGAAAAGCTGTTAGAAAAATACAAATTACCACAACTGACTCAGGGAGAAACTTTTTTTTTTCTTAAGATTTTATTTATTTACTTGACAAAGATCACAAGTAAGCAGAGAGGCAGGCGGGGCGGGGGGTGGGGGAAGAGGCTCCCTGCCAAGCAGAGAGCCTGATGCAGGGCTCCATCCCAGGACCCTGAGATCAGGGCCCAAACTGAAAGCAGAGGCTTAACCCACTGAGCCACCCAGGCGCCCCTCAGGAAGAAACTTTAAAAGTCTGAATAGACTAAAACAAAGAAGTTGAATTAGTAATTAAAAATCTTCCTGCAGGGGCACCTGGGTGGTTCAGTTGGTTGGGTGGCTGCCTTTGGCTCAGGTCATGATCCCGGGGTCCTGGGATCAAGCCCCACATCGGGCTCACTGCTCAGTGGAGAGCCTGCTTCTCCCTCTCCCTCTGCCTGCTGCTCTGCCTACTCATACTCTCTATCTCTGTGTCCAAAAAAACAAAACAAAACAAAACAAAACTTGAAAAAAAAGTCTTCCTGCAAAAGGGTGCCTGGGTGGCTCAGCCAGCTAGTGTCTGGCTCTTTGGATTCTGCTCAGGACATGGTCTCGTAGGTCATGTGATCAAGCCCTGTCTCAGGCTCCACACTCAGTGGGGACTTTGCTTGATGTTCTCTCCCTCTGCCCCTCCCCTCACTTGTTCATGGGTTTTCTCTTTCTCTAAAATAAATAAATAAATAAATAAATCCTTTTTTTTTTTTTTTTTTTTTTTTTAATCTTCCTGCAAAGAAATTCCTTGGCCAGTTGGGGACAGGGCTTGTTTGAATTATATCAAACATTTAAAGATGAAATAGTACTAATCCTTCATAGACTCTGAAAATAGTAGCTGGAGGAAATATTTCCAACTGTTTATGAAGCTAGTATTCAAAGTTAGACATCCCAGGAAAACTATATTCCTTACACATATAAATACAAAAAATCCTCAACCAAGGGGCACCTGGGTGGCTCAGTGGTTTAAAGCCTCTGCCTTCAGCTCAGGTCATGATCTCAGCATCCTGGGATCGAGCCCCGCATTGGGCTCTCTGCTCAGCAGGGAGCCTGCTTCCTCCTCTCTCTCTCTCTCTCTGCCTGCCTCTCTGCCTACTTGTGATCTCTGTCTGTCAAATGAATAAATAAAAAATCTTAAAAAAAAAAAATCCTCAACCAAAACCAACAAACAGGGGCACCTGGGTGGTTCAGATGGTAAGGCGTCTGCCTTTGGCTAAGGTCATGGTATGTAGGTCCTGGGATCGAGACCTTTGTTAGGCTCCCTGCTCAGTGGGGAGTCTGCTTCTCCCTCTCCCTGAGCCTCTCCCCCTGCTCGTGCTTGCTTTTTTTCTCTCTGTATCTCTCTGTCTCAAATGAATAAATAAAATCTTAAAGAAACACAAATACTAGCAAACGAAATCCAACAGCTTATTAAAAGGGTTATATAACATGACCAAGGGGATTTGTACCAGGAATGCAAGGGTGGTTCAAGCTAAGAAAATCAATGCGACACACCACGTTAATAGAACAAAGGGAAGAAACACACAGTCATGTCAACTAATGCAGAAAAAGCATAAGAACATTCAGAAAACTAGGAATAGAAGAGAATTCCTCTGCTTGAAAAGGGTATTTATGGAAAGGATGGATCAATTTCACACTAACTAAAATAGCTATAATAAAAATAAAGACTAACAAGTGATGGGTAGGATATGGAGCTGGTGGTCATAACATCTAAGACAGAAAGGAGATAAGGTGCCAGGTTGGTTCAGTCATTAGAGCATGCTAGAGGATGGGACTTTTGCTCTCGGGGTCATGAGTTCAAGCTCCCTATGAGGATATGGTATAAAAATTTGCTTTAAAAAAAAAAGGAGATATAATATTCAAGAGTAATGAACCTGGAAATGTAATAGGAACCTTCCCAAGGAAGAGGAAGTAGCTTTGAATTAATAAGGTCAAGATGCCAAGTTAGTAATAGGGAGGGGACATGGCAAGGTAAAGAAGCTGCCAATAAGGGCATCCTTTGGGGTGCCTGGGTGGCTCAGTCAGTTAAACCTCTGCCTTCGGCTCAGGTCATGACCCCAGGGTCATGGGATTGAGTCCTGGGATAGAGCAACAGGCTCCTTGCTCAGCAGGGAGCCTGCTTCTCCCTCTGCCTCTCCCTCCCCCAGCTTTGTGTTCTCTCTCTGACAAATAAATAAAATCTTAAAAAAAAAAAAAAAGGGCATCCTTTGTCATCACTAAAAATCATCTGATACTTACTGCACACAAAAGCACAAGAGCTAATCAGAACTTCTTTTTTTGAGATTTATTTATTTGAGAGACAGAAACCAAGAGCTCAAAGCATGAGCAGGAGGGGCAGAAGGAGAGGGAGAGAAAATCTCAAGCAGACTCTGTGCTGTGCATGGAGCTGAACATGGGGCTTGATCTCATGATGCTGAGATCATGACCTGAGCTGAAACAAGAGTCAGACACCTAACTGACTGTGCCACCCAGGCTCCCCTAATCAGAACTTCTTAAGGGTTCTCTGAGGTTGGGAAATGATGTGTTCAAAAAAATATAAAACAAGAAAAGTACTCTCACAATTTGAAAATCAACCTCTGCTACATAGGTAATGATCAGAAAGGAAATCGATTTTTTTAAAAAGATTTTATTTATTTATTCGACAGAGAGAGAGATCACAAGTAGACGGAGAGGCAGGCAGAGTGAGAGAGAGAGAGGGAAGCAGGCTCCCTGCTGAGCAGAGAGCCTGATGCGGGACTCGATCCCAGGACCCTGAGATCATGACCTGAGCTGAAGGCAGCGGCTTAACCCACTGAGCCACCCAGGCGCCCCAGAAAGGAAATCGATTTTATTGGAGGAAGAATATGTACCAAGTTGAGTTAGAAATAAAGTGTATCAAGTCAATGAAATCAGGGGAGGCTTTTAGAGAAACAACCAGAGGTAGGAGGGAGGGACTGTAATGTTTACATTTCTACAACTAACTTTGATATAATTGCATATTCTCTGCTCCCAGTTCCCCTGATGATGAGCTCTCATGTTAGTAATACTGTGTTGGAAAAAGCTATATGCAGTGAAGGGAATAAGGTGAAGAAACTCACAGTTTATCTAACTCCACCTTCTGGTGTGTCTAAGGAGGTTTTGGAGAGACTTTAAGTGTAAGATCTTAAGTGGGTAGATTTAAGTTATAAATAATGGAGAATGTATTTCTCCTGCCACCTCAAGAAAGTCTTGGGTATTAAAAGTCTGTTTTACCTCTTGCTGACCTGCTTGTGGTCATTGTCAGTAAACCAGAAGACCGTGAATCCACATTGCTTCATCTGTTCTATTCAGAGACATTTCCGCATAGGAGGAAACCCTAGGGCTGAAAGCTCATTCTCCTGAAAGGGCAGCTTTTGTGAGTTATTCTTATTGTCCTGCCTTTTTTTTTTTTTTTAAGATTTTATTTATTTATTTGATAGGCAGAGATCGCAAGTAAACAGGCAGGCAGAGAGAGAGAGGAGGAAGCAGTCTCCTTGCTGAGCAGAGAGCCTGATGCGGGGCTTGATCCCAGGACCCTGGGATCACGACCTGAGCCGAGGGCAGAGGCTTTAACCCACTGAGCCACCCAGGCACCCCTCTTACTGTCCTGTTAACACACAGTTGTGGCAGTGGTCTTGGTCTTGTGTGTTGTATTCTTCAGGAAGAGTTGAGCCCACCCTGTTGGAGGAATGAAGAAACAGAAAACCAAGAAGATGGGACTCCAGGGAGAATTTGGGAGTTTGTCAGTTTACATGCTATAAAATGTTAGAGAAAAGAAACAAGTTTTGTTTTTTTGAGAAATATTACTGTGGGCTATGAATTAGATCATCTTTATTGTTGCCTGAGAAACTCAAAAGAATGTTAAAACTCCCATATTAATTGTACCTGGTTGCTAGTCTATACTCTGTGGTTCTAGGAAGAGAGTGGACCATGTGGGTCCCCAGCTTTTAATCGGATTATGTGTGCTCTAAATTTTTTAAAAGATTTTATTTATTTATTTGAGAGAGAGAGAGAGAGAGAGCATGAGCAGGGGGAGGGACAGAGGGACAAGCAAACTCGCCGCTGAGCATGAAGGCTAACATGGCACTCAATCCCAGGACTCCAGGATTGTGACCTGAGCCAAAGCCAGACGCTTAACCCACTGAGCCACCCAGGTGCCCCAGTTATGTGTACTCTTGGGGTCTCTTCTGCTCCTGCCTCCTCTGTGTTTGCTTTCTTCTATTATGCACTTCTTTGTATGTTTGCTTTCTCTTTTGCTCTCATTTATTATCTAAATGTTTATTACCTGAGTCTCTACAGTGATAGAGTTGCCTGTCAACCAAAAGTCATCATAATATGAATATATTTGCTAATGAAATGACTAATAAAATAAGGCCCCATGCATATTACTACTTAATGCTTGCACCTATCCTGCCCCATGGTCAGCATCTTTGTTGTTATCAGTCACTAGCTGATTGGTGGATAATATTAATATCTGACAATATAATGCAAGTACAGTAAAAATCATTTGCAAAGTGAAATTATCCTTACAGGACATGCAAGATTTTATGAAATTGATTAATGTTGAAGAATTACTTGAATCACTTGCAAAGCCACTGACAAATGAGAATCTAGAAATTTCTTGTCTGTTAACAAGGAGAAAATCAACAAAAGATGACAAAACAGGTTCTTCTAGACACAATGATAAGACTACTGTGGTACACAGTCCTTGGGAAAACTATGAAGCCTTAAAATAGTTCTGCAGGGCGCCTGGGTGGCTCAGTGGATTAAAGCCTCTGCCTTCAGCTCAGGTCATGATCTCAGGGTCCTGGGATCGAGTCCCGCATCGGACTCTCTGCTCAGCAGGGAGCCTGCTTCCTCCTCTCTCTCTCTCTCTGCCTGCCTCTCTGCCTACTTGTGATCTGTCAAATAAATAAATAAATAAATAAATAAATAAAATAGTTCTGCAAAAGTAACTGTAAAATTCAAAGATGTCATATGGCAGTCTCACTGAATTTGTCTAAAAAATTGCAATCCAGGGCCACTGGGCTGGCTCATCAGTGGAGCATATGATTCTTGATCGTGGGGTTGTAAGTTCAAGCCCCATGTTGGGTGTAGAGATTACTTAAAATAATATCTTTAAAAACAAATTACAAGGGCATCTGGGTGGCTCAGTCAGTCGAGCATCTGACTCTTGGTTTCCGCTCAGGTTGTGATCTCGGGGTCATGGGATTGAGCCCCACCTGGGGTTCTGCACTCAGCAGGGAGTCTGCTTAAAGATTCTCTCTCTCTCTCTGCCCCTCCCAAAACACATTCTCTCTTCCACCCTCCCAAATAAAGAAATAAAATATTTTTTTAAAGTTGCAACCCCCACCAAAAGGATAGAAAGAGATTTTATAAACTAAATTTTGTAAATAAAATAAATTTTATATTTTGTTTTAACATCACTTTAAAGATAAAATTTCAATCATAACCTTTTCTTTTCTCTAATTAATATGATATTTTTGTTCCCTTCTTAAGTTAATTCACACATGCCAATTCTCAAACTTCTAATTTTTTTTATATTTAAATCTGGAAGGATATACCAAAAATTATATGGAGTATACTTTATTTTCTCTTTTTTGTTTTTTCCTTTACCTTTTTAAATTTTTTATTTATTTTTTTAAAAGATTTTATTTGTTTATTTGACAGAGAGAGACAGCAAGAGAGGGAACACAACAAGGGGAGTGGGAGAGGGAGAAGCATCCTTTCCACTGAGCAAGGAGCCTAATGTGGGACTTGATCCCAAGACCCTGGGATCATGACCTGAGCTGAAGACAGATGCTTAACAACTGAGCCACCCAGGCACCCCATCCTTTACCTTTTTTAAATTAATAAATAGGTACCTTTTTTTAGGATTAAGAATGTAAATATTTTTAGACGCTCTATGTGTAATATCATTTGTTTGAAAACACGCTTTTAAATTAGGGCTGAAATTCGTACAAACAGTATCTGAGATGCCAAGGGCACAGGCCATGCAGCCATACAACACCTTAAAGGTCTTCAAAGAAATCCACAAAGTTTAAAATTAAAAATCTCAGCAAGCACGGAAATCTGAATATTCATTATTGTTAACCTAGAATGGCATCGAACACACAGAAGAACTCAGTAAATATTGGCTGGATGAATGGGTTCTAAGTGGAACCTGCCCTGAATATGTCTGTCTCATCCGCAGTGCCCACTGAAGGTTCCTATTTCACCAGTGCCAGAGTGGGAGGCAAGCGAGGGATTATCAGGGAGCTTGCCGTCACACTGCAGGGACCCGAGGATAATACTCTCCTGTTTGAGTCAAGGTTTGAGAGCGGGAATCTGCAAAAAGCCGTCAGAGTGTGAGTAATGGGAATTTCCCAAGGGGGCGATAACTGGAGGGGCTGAGCCTTGTCTTCAGGAGTCATATAAGGAGTCAGTAGTGTTTTTGAAAAAGAGAGAGGTGGTAAGAAATGGTCATGAGGATGAAGAAGAATGGAATAATTGTGACTCATTTTCCCCCAGAGCAAAAATTTACCTACATTGTTTTTTCTGCTTGTGTAAGAAATTAGTGCTCATTTAAAATTTGTATTAATAGGGGCACCTGGATGGCTCAGTAGAGCATGTGACTCTTGATCTCGGGGTCATGAGTTCGAGCCCCACCTTGTGGGTAGCAATTACTTAAATAAATCAAACCCTTTAAAAATGTTTTGTGTTAATAAACATGCATAACATTAAAAAAATGAAGTCCTATAATCATACCTCCCCAGATACACCAGCTGTTAACAGTTGAGTATATATGCAATAATTTCCCCCCTCTTTCTGTTATGTATAATATACAGAAATGATTTTTTTTTTTAAAGATTTTATTTATTGGGGCACCTGGGTAGCTCAGTGGGTTAAAGCCTCTGCCTTCGGCTCAGGTCATGATCCCAGGGTCCTGGGATCGAGCCCCACATTGGGCTCTCTGCTCAACCTGCTCCCCCGCCACCCCCTCTGCCTGCCTCTCTGTCTACTGTCTATCAAATAAGTAAATAAAATCAAATAAATAAATAAAATCTTAAAAAAATAAATAAAAATTTAAAAAATTTTAAAAATAAGATTTTATTTATTTATTTGACAGAGAGAGAGAGACAGAGAGAGAACAAGCAGGTAGAGTAGCAGAGGGAGAGGAAGAAGCAGACTCCCTGCTGAGTAGGGACCCCCCGCAATGCAAGGCTCCATCCCAGGACACTGGGATCATGACCTGAGCCAAAGACAGACGCTTAACTGACTGAGCCACCAAGGCACCCCAGAAATTATTTATTTTTTAAAATAGCATGATGGTATATGTACTGTTTTACAAGTTGCTTTTTGCCACTTAATAAATTTTGTTTATTTTCCTATGACAGTACCACAGATTTATCTCCTTATTTTTAATAATTCATATTATTCATTTTCTTTCTTTTTTTTTTTTTTTATTTGACAGAGAGAGAGATCACAAGTAGGCAGAGAGGCAGGCAGAGAGAGAGGAAGGGAAGCAGGCTCCCTGCTGAGCAGATAGCCCGATGTGGGGCTCGATCCCAGGACTCCGGGATCATGACCTGAGCTGAAGGCAGAGGCTTTAAACCACTGAGCCACCCAGGCGCCCCTCTTTTTTTCTTTTTTTAAAAGATTTTATTTAGGGATGCCTGGGTGGCTTAGTTGTTTTATTTATTTGTCAGAGAGAGAGAGACAGCGAGAGAGCACAAGCAGAGGGAGAGGCAGGCAGAGAGAGAGGGAGAAGCAGGCTCCCACCAAGCAAGGAGCCCAACACGGGGCTCAATCCCAGGACCCCGAGATCATGACCTGAACCCATACAGATGCTTAGCCAACTGAGCCACCCAAGCAACACCCCCAAGCAAACTTTCTTTACCTAAATTTCTGCCAGCCTTATAGTATGAGTAGGGGGACCATGTAAATTAGAAAATTAAGGCTTAATGTAGCAGTCTTTCCTGTTGTAATAAGATCTGTTTTTGCCAGGGGGAAACAACACTTTTTTGGATTTGCTTTTTGAGGGGGGAGGGATGTGAGGTGACAGAGACAGTCTTCAATTTTCTCCATTACAGAGATACCTATGAGTATGAACTCACCTTGCGAACTGACCTCTACACAAACAAACACACTCAGTGGTTTTATTTTCGGGTTCAAAACACTAGAAAAGATGTGACCTACCGCTTCACCATTGTCAACTTGCTAAAACCCAAGAGCCTTTATACTATAGGGATGAAGCCACTCATGTACTCCCAACTGGATGCCGACACCCACAACATTGGCTGGAGGAGAGAAGGAAAGGAAATCAGGTACTTCAAGAACAACACGGAGGATGGGCAGCAGCCCTTTTACTGTCTTACGTGGACCATCCAGTTTCCGCATGACCAGGACACTTGCTTCTTTGCTCACTTCTACCCATATACGTACACTGACTTGCAGTGCTACCTGCTGTCTGTGGCGAATAACCCGGTCCAGTCTCAGTTCTGCAAACTCCGAACGTTATGCAGGAGCCTAGCAGGAAATACCGTCTACCTGCTCACCATCACCAACCCATCCCGGACCCCGCAAGAGGCGGCTGCAAAGAAAGCTGTGGTCTTGAGCGCCCGAGTCCACCCTGGAGAAAGTAATGGCTCGTGGATCATGAAGGGCTTTTTGGACTTCATCCTTAGCAACTCCCCAGATGCCCAGCTCCTCAGAGATATCTTTATCTTCAAAGTGGTTCCTATGCTAAATCCAGATGGAGTGATTGTGGGGAATTACCGGTGTTCGCTGGCAGGAAGGGACTTAAACAGGCATTATAAAACCATTCTGAAGGAGTCCTTCCCTTGCATCTGGTACACCAGGAACATGATCAAAAGGTGAGCCCCTTGATCTGTTGATCTTCCTCCGAATGCTGTGAGCACCGTCTGATGGGTGCGGGGGCTCTTCTTACGTAGGACTCAGGCGTGGCTTCGGAGACTGTCTTTACTGTTCTGTTTGCAGTCATATAGGTGTGCTCAGTTCCAAACTTTTAAGTCCTGTTTTATCTTTCTTTTCAAAGATTACATTTATTTATTTGAGAGAGAGAGAATATGAGCAGTGAGAGGGGCAGAGGGAGAAGCTGACTCCCCGCAGAGCAGGGAGCCCGACACGGGGCTCTGTCCCAGGACCCTGGGATCATGACCTGAGCTGAAGGCAGACGCTTAACTGACTGAGCCACCCAGGCACCCCCAGTCCTGTTTTACCTTTGGGCTGAAACTGAACATGCAACATTTCAGCAAGAGGCATTTCTCTTATTAGTGAAACAATGGAATAGAGAGTTCAGAAGTCAGAGAAATTCATAGGCCTTCGTCATGAGGCCTGTGTAGTAATAATACCAGCACCTAACAATCAGGCAGTATTTGTGTAGAGGGGACAGGTGATACTCTCAGTGCTTTACACACAGGACCCATGGAGTCTTCACATTAACTCTCTGACGCAGGCACATTCAGTATCCCCCGTATGTAAACGGTGAGGAAATTAAGTCCACAAAAGGTTAAGCAACTTGCCTAAGGTCACAGAGCTAAAAAGTGACAGAGTAGATATTTGAACACAGACTCTCAGGTTCCAGAGTCTGAGTTCTTTATTACCTCTTATATTGCCTCTCATAAGGAAAGAATAGTAAGTAAATCAGTTAATATTTTCCAAGCTTCTGTGAAAGCAGTTGAAGGCTATGATGGAATGGCACCCACCTTACCGGAAATGGAACCACAGCACAGAAGAATATGTGAGCGCACACACCTCATAACCGTATCTGTGGCGGGGGTGGGGTGGGGGGGAGTCGTGTGGGGCTGGTAGGCAAAATGGCTAAGAGCATGTGCTTGGAAGTCAGACAGGCCTGGCTTCGAGACCTGGTGTTGCTTCGGGCTTGTTCTGTGACTTGGAAGTGATCGTACCTCTCTGTGCTTCAGTTTTCCCCTCTGTAGAGTGGGGCTCAGCTCGCCTGCCTTGGGTGGTTAGCTGTGAGGAGGAAATGGGAGGGTCCGTGTCATCTGTCTAGCACAGTGCCCTCACGCTGTGAGTGCGTGGCGTTACTGTCCTCCTTCTCCTAATGGAGAAGTTGACCATGTTTGGAAGATTGAGCCAGGTGTCTGGGTGAGGAGGAGACAGAGGAGCTGAGCCTTACAGGAACTGGTGCTGGAAAGTCAGGGACCCAGGCTTTCTTTGTTTCTTTTCTTCATCTGGGCACTTACACCTCTCTCCTTCTGTCCCTCTTTTTTTTTTTTTTTTTTTTTTTAAAAGATTTTATTTATTTATTTGACAGAGAGAGACAGCAAGAGAGGGAATACAAGCAGGGGCGGTGGGAGAGGGAGAAGCAGGCTTCCTGCCAAGCAGGGAGCCCGATGTGGGGCTTGATCCCAGGACCCTGGGATCATGACCTGAGCCAAAGACAGACGCTTAACGACTGAGCCATCCAGGCGCCCCTACTTCTGCCCCTCTTTCACCAGGTCTGCCCCTAGATTTCCTCCACTTCATTGTTAGCTTACACAAGGCCTATCCGCCACTCCCTTCAACAGCAGGGTGTTTCCATCCCAAGTCCCTCTGACCGTCAGCGCAAGGACTGCTGGTAGCATGTTTACAGCAGTGGCCAAGAATGGAGATAGGGTTCTTTGAAGGGGTTGACATTTTCTTTAGAGGGACAGTAGCAAGACAAACGTAGATCCTTGATGATTGTCATGTATTTGGATGTCTACTAAGTCCTTTGTTTGCCCCCCTCAATAGACTTCTGGAAGAAAGGGAGGTTCTCTTGTATTGTGATTTCCATGGCCACAGCCGCAAGAATAATATCTTTTTGTACGGCTGTAATAGCAACGATCGCAAGTACTGGCTTCACGAGCGCGTCTTTCCTTTAATGCTAAGCAAAAATGCACCAGATAAGGTAAGCACATAAGGTAATTTCCCATCCATTGACTAAGGAAGACAAGAACTCAGCTAGTGTCTTGAATGTCAAAGTAAGCCAGCATTCCCAAACAGGAGTTCAAGGCACCCTAGTCCTGCAAAATGTCCCCAGGAAAGGTGGGGAGGGGAAGAAAAGGTCACAGGCAGTAAGAAACAGAATCTACCTTCTCTGCTTTGGAGATTCACAGTCTACAATAACATACTAAATGCTCTGAGAAGTCTTGCACAGGAAGTCTGTGTAATTTTATTAGTCCTTCCTCCTCCTGAGCAACATGACTGTAGAACTCATTTCTCCTCTGTAATACCTGTTAACATCCCATAGAATTGCTATTTTATGGAACATACTTTAAGAAATAATATACAGGGGCGCCTGGGTGGCTCAGTGGGTTAAAGCCTCTGCCTTCGGCTCAGGTCATGATCTCAGGGTCCTGGGATCGAGCCCCGCATCGGGCTCTCTGCTCAGCAGGGAGCCTGCTTCCCTTCCTCTCTCTCTGCCTGCCTCTCTGCCTACTTGTGATCTCTGTCTGTCAAATAAATAAAATCTTTAAAAAAAAAAAAAAAAAAAAAAAAGAAATAATATACAGATCCCTGGGAAACCATTCTCGTATCCTGTCAATGACTCTAAGGCATCTTGTGTTTGCTAGTTTATGTTTAGCGGTGGATTTGGGTTTCTCTTTAGTTCTCTTTTCAGAGTTGTAACTTTAAGGTGCAGAAGTGCAAGGAAGGCACAGGCCGAGTCGTGATGTGGCGCATGGGGATCCTCAACAGCTACACCATGGAGTCCACCTTTGGGGGGTCCACCCTGGGTAAGCTCTCTTGTACGTCATAGGTCAGCCTGGTAAGGGGAAGCCAAGCAAAGCACGGAGGGCATGAAATCCTTTCGAACACTGGAAAAATGACTGACCTTGATTTTCCTAACTGCACCTTCTGCCGAATTTGACCAACCTAAATATGAGGGCGAAATGTTACCCTTGATGGGGCAGCATAGCATAGTGCCTGCTCAGGACCTGGAGTCAGGCAGCTCCGGGTTTGACTTTCAGCTCCACTTGGGATCTGGCTAAGTCACTTAACTCTGTGAACCTCTTTTTTTTTAACTTAGCAATAACAGTAGCACCCGCCTTGTAGGTCCTACCCAATGAGCTAATGTGCATTAAGCCGTTGGCACAGCGCCTACCACGGAGTAAAACTTCAGTAACTATAGCCATGTGACTGCAGACTTTTCCTCATTGTCAAGATTCTTCTGAACCAAGCCAGAACTACAGGGAGAAAGACCCTGTCCAGAAGCACAATATTCTAGAATCAAAGATGGTGTTGTTAAGGAGGTGTTCATAAATTAGACCGCATTTGCTCATTCAGATTTGATAAGAAATGTTTATGATTTTTTTTTCAGGCAATAAAAGAGATACTCACTTTACCACTGAGGATCTAAAGTCTCTAGGTTACCATGTTTGTGACACCCTTCTGGATTTCTGTGATCCTGACCGAACCAAGGTAAAAATGGGCTTTCAAAAACTGTGGTGATGCTACTGTGATCAGTTTTACATGGGTCCGAGGTCAGCCCAGTGAGATTATAGGTGGTCTTTATTTTCCTCTTACTATCATTTTTAAGTTTTTATTATCAATGAAAGTAAGAAAGCCCCCAGCCCGCACACCCTCCACCAATGGTAAGACCTCATAACTCGCCCAGAAGGTAGGAGCCTTCTTGCCGACTATCCATCAGCACACCTCTCTCTCACTTTGCTTCTCGGAAAAGCGAGGGTCCTTTCTCTTCTCCAAAACCAACCCTGCCCTTTACGCACTTGCCAGCCCCCACTCCGCGGCCTCCCTAATGTCATGCCTCATTCCTTCCCTCCTCCATTTTCTGTGTCCTCGGTTTTTTCGTCTTCTTACTTCTTCCCGTCAACCACACGTGTTCTCAGCCGCCCCAGTCCTGACTCCTGCGTGGGTTTCATCCGGCCATGTTTCTCCAGCGGAGGCAGGAGGGTACTCTTAGTTCCCTTTATTGCTCAGCTACTTAAAAGGGAGTTTGTGCTCATGGGCTCTATCTAACTCCTCTCTCATGCCCCCTCTCAGATGGCCCCGGGGACACTTACACAGACTGCTCTGGGTGCAACTGTTTACGAAAACATATCTAAAGGAGAATGCGACCACAGCATGGCCTGTGAAATCACATCTGGCATGGGCCAAAGTCTGAATGACCCCATTCTAATGTTTCCTTTTTTGCTATTCAAAAAAAATAAAATAAGTTAGAACTTTGCATTATTTAAGAAGCTTATTATTGTCTATAGCCAGGGAAAAGTACCTAAAGCAGTGTTCACTGATGTTCTGCCTTAGAAACACTTGCTACCGCTCATGTAATTTATATGTTAACATGTCCTTATTAACAGAGGTGACAGCCCACTCATCTTTATGTTCCCAGCAATAAATAAAGTGCCTTTCAGCATATACTTAGTAAATATTTGATAAATAAATCAATGGATAATCAAAAATGTTCTTTTTTCCACTTCCACAGTTCATGCAGTGTTTGGCAGAGCTTAAAGAGCTCTTACAACAGGAGATCCATAAGAAATTCAATGAACTTGGACAAGATATGGATTTAGAAGGAAGTTGGAGTGACATCTCTCTGTCTGATATTGAATCCAGGTAACAAATTTCATTTCAGAGAAAAACCAGAGAAGTTCTTTTTTTTTTTTTTTAAGGTTTTATTTATTTATTTGACAGAGAGAGACACAGTGAGAGAGGGAACACAAGCAGGGGGAGTGGGAGAGCGAGAAGCAGGCTTCCCTCTGGGTCGCGGGGTTCGATCCTAGGATCCTGACCCAAGCCGCAGGCAGATATTTAATGACTGAGCCACCCAGGCGCCCCTATTTTTTTTTTTTGTTATTGTTGTTTGTTTGCTCTGCTGTTTCATTGGTTTTGAACCTCAGGTGCAAAATATTGAATAAATCATGGCACGCTTAAATATATCATTTCTTCAGCAACCATGTATTGAGTGCATGTTCTCTGACAGCCTCATTTCTTGAGTTAGGGAGATGAGCAGGCAATACATGTAGGGCCTTTAGGCAATTGTAAAGCCTTTGTCTTTTACTCCAAGGAGGTGGAAAGCCTTTGGAAGGTTTTAAGTAGAGAAGTGTCATGTTCCGACTTGAGTTTTAGTTTCAGTAGGAATACCCTGGCTGCTATGTGGAAAATAGATTGTGAAGAGGAAAGGTGTAAGCAGGAACATTCATTAGGAGGCTCTGGCAATAATACAGGTAAATACAGATGGTGGGCTCGACCTGAGTAGTTGTAGTAGTGGTTGGGGATGTACGAATTGGTTGGATTCTAGATACATTTTGAAGTCTCAAACAGGATTTTCTTATGGCTTTTATATGGAGCATGAGAGAAGGAGAATGTGTCCATAATTGGTTGAATGGAGTTGCCTTTTACCGAGATGGGGAAGATCAAGGGGGTGGAGAAGATTAGGGGAGAGATGAAGACCCAGAAGCAAGTGTTAGGCACATTCAGTCTGAGCTGTCAATTAGATATCGAAATGGAGATATTGGATGGGCAGTTGAATATATGAGTCTGGAGTTCAGTGGCGAGGTCAAATAGGGTCATCACTAGATAGGTGATATTTAAACCTTGAGACTAGGGATACCTGGGTGTCTCAATCGGTTAAGCATCTGATTCTTGGTTTTGGCTCAGGTCATGATCTCAGGGTTGTGAGATCAAGCCCCACATCGAGCTCTGAGCGGGGTGTGGAGTCGGCTTGAGATTCTCTCCCTCTCCCTCTGCCCCTTTCCCTGCTCACATGCGTGCACATTCTCAAATAATTAAATAAAATCTTTTGAAAAAAATAAATAAAAAGATAAATAAGCCCTAAGACTAGATGAGATCCCAAGAGAGCAAGTGCAGACAGAGCAACGAGGAGGTCCAAGTCTAAGCTCTAAAAGGTCACAGAGATGAGGAGGAGCCAGGAAATGAGGTGAAAAATCCAGGATCCCACAATGGCCTCCAGGCTATGGGAGCTAGCCATCTCCTTACAACCTCCATCCTCACCCTCTCACACACCGCTATAGCTACCCTGGCCTCCTCACTCTTCTTCAGACTTTCTGGGCCCTGTTCTGCCTCAGGGCCTTTGTGCTAGCAGTCCCAGCTGCCTAGAATGCTCTTCTCCCAGATATCTGTGTGCTCATTCCTCACCTCCTTCAAGTCTTTGTTTAAATGTCAACTTTTTCAATGTGGCCTACTCTTGTTACTCTAATACTGCCACTTGCTCCCCTGCCTTTGCCTTCCTGCCATTCATTCCCTGTCCCCCAGAGGTGCTCTACTTTTTCCCAAAACATTTCATCACCTCTGTCCTTCTATGTCATTTACATCTTTATTGTGTTTATTATGTATTGTCTGTGTCCCCCTATGAAGATGTGGGTCTGCAAGGTCAGAGAGCTTTATTTTGTTCACCTCTATCTCATGCACCTAGAACTGTACCCAGCCCATAGGGAGAGCTCAATACATATTTGTTGAATTAATTTAGTGTGTAGGATATCACCCCCACCCTAGTCATCTCCACAAGTATTTTAGGAAGCCCTCAGGTGGCTGGGTGTCTCACAGGTATGCAAGTACCCCTTCTACTCCAGCTTACTGGCCAATGTGCCCCAAGCCTGCCCTGGCTGCCCTCGTTCAGGTTCCTGGGCTGGACATGGCAGTCCTCCTCCAGAGGAGGCACTGTAGACCGCAGCGGGCAGGGCAAAGGGGCTGGCTGTCTGTCCTACTCTATGTGGCACACATGGATGGACATCTGGGCCCTGGAGTAGTTCTGCTGGCTGGATCTCCCAAATGTCTTCTTAGGAACCTTAAATCAGAGCGTCAGGCTAGCCAGTGTGCCCATTCGCTATGTTGCTGCCTCCACTTTCCCAGAATTCTCTGCCTTGCTCTCAGGGACCACTGCACGAACCACGCTGCACTTTCAGCTTCAAAAACAAAATGCCCCTTCATGTCAACCCATTAGGATAGAGCCCAGGGGAAGTCAACTCAGAAACAGGGAGACTGCATTCTAGCTGGCCTAGCAGGGGTACTCTGATACAGCGAGTTAAAAATGATTGAAAGCAGTTTTTCAGCGTCTGCATCAGGAAGCCAGCTATCAGAACCCTCCATGGGGCTCCACTCGCCCATTCTCACTGTGATGCAGAAAAGCAGACTGTGAGTGTCCAACCCTGTGTGTGCACCCACACAGTCTTCAACATTTTCTGCGGCATACTGCATCTAATGCTTTTGTCTTGTTTATTAAAGTCTTCTCTTATCTCTGAAAGGGACTTCAGAGACTATTATCCAATGGCCTCAAAGGCTTACTATTCAGACTAGAAAAGCCTTTCGAGAACACGGAATGGGGAATTAGATCAGAGAAGAGAGGGCTTTCTTCCTGCTGCTTTACTGTGGGGTTCCTCATTGTGCACCAAAGAGAGGGAGGGGGAGCGTGAACAGGATGAAAGGTGTGAGAAAAAGAATGGCTTGAAATGCCATCTTTTCCCAGGAGATCTGAGTTTTGTGATTTTTTTTAATGTATGGAGACTGTGTGGTAGAGCACAGCTCCCAGTTCTAGCCAGCCACACCCCAGGAAAGGGAAAATACAATGTGACACTTGAACAGTGGATGTGATGAAGGCAGCAAGGTGGATTGTCTGAGCCCTCGTTCCTCATAGCCTTTGCAGGAAGGGGCTGACCATTTGTGAGGGAAGACTTTAGGTCAGTCTGGACATGCATCCGCAACTTTTGAAGCAGGAATTGGGGTGATGAAAGTAATGCCTCTGGTCCCCAACCTATAGATTCCTTGATATCAAATATGTTTATGTGTGTATTCAACACAGTTTTTTTTTTCTTAAAGAGTTTATCCATTTATTTGACAGAGAGATCACAAGTAGGCAAAGAGACAGGCAGAGAGAGAGAGAGGGAAGCAGGCTCCCTGCTGAGCAGAGGGCCCAATGTGGGGTTGATGCGGGGCTCGGTCCCAGGACCCTGGGATCACGACCTGAGCCGAAGGCAGAGGCTTAAACCACTGAGCCACCCAGGCGCCCCTCAACACAGTTTTTAAGAGTACCTGGTAGGATTCTTGCTCTTTGAACTGGTCCTGGCCAGACAGGAATGAATGAAACCCTGCTTTCAAACAAATCATCGTCCCTTGGTCTTGCCCGGGGCTGCACACTGAGAATCTTCCAGCCTCTCACTGTTGCTGCCCAGGGCACCTTGGCCCACCTGGCCAGTATTTATTTTGCCACACGGATTGCAAAGTCCTTGGGGTCAGGGGCTCTGCTCTCGATGCACTGCCTGGAATGCAGTACACATTCAGGATGAATGAATAAACATGCCTGTCAAGAATTCTTAGGCATCGAAATGCAGGCATTGGGGGCAAGTAGCAGACTTGATGTCCTAATCCCATGCTGCCAGTCTGCTAAATGTTCCCCTTCCTAGACATTAATAACAGGTATTTCCCTTTCCTCTTTCCTTTTGGAAACAGCACCAGTGGTTCTGACAGTTCCCTCTCGGACGGTCTCCCTCTTCACCTACTGAACATAGCCCATGAGGTAAGATGGGATAGACCATCACCCCAGGAAGGAGCAGCCAGATAAAATCTATAGAAAAGGGGCGCCTGGGTGGCTCAGTCTGTTAAGCTTCTGCCATCAGCTCAGGTCATGATCTCAGGATCTTGGGATCGAGCCCCACGTGGGGCTTCCTGCTCTGCAGGGAGCCTGCTTCTCCATCTGCCTGCCACTCCCCCTGCTTGTGCTCTCTCCCTCTCTCTTTCTCTGCCAAAATAAATAAATAAAATATTTTTAAAAAATAAAATAAAATATGTAGGAAATATAGCAGTGGTATCCTAACTGGTTACCCTGCCCTCGAATCTTTCATTTTGCCTTTATAACTTTCCTTTTAAAAATCTAGGGGAAAGGGACACGTAGGTGGCTCAGTTGTTAGGCATCTGCCTTTGGCTCAGGCCCTGATCCCAGGGTCCTGGGATCAAGTCTCGCATTGGGCTCCTTGCTTGGTGGGGAGGCTGCTGCTCCCTCTCCCATTCCCCCTGCTTGTGTTCCCTCTCTCGCTGTGTCTCCTCTCTCTGTCAAATAAATAAATAAAATCCTTTTTTAAAAAATCTGGGGGAAAATCTAAGGGAAAAAATGTGAGGATTCCATGTTTATTACAAAGTTCACTAAAATGAAAAAAAGTTTAACTAAAAGTGAAAACCATCTTAAGAAATAAGGGTTGTTAAAAATGACCCATACTTATTTATTTATTTAAGATTTTATTTTTATACTTCTTTCTCTATACCCAACAAGGAGCTCGAAATCATGACCCCAAGATCAAGAATTGCATGCTCCACTGACTGAGCCATCTAGGCAGCTTGACCCATACATTTTTAAAAAAGTGTTTCTCTGTTCATGTAGTTGTAGATAGTTTTTTATACTTCCATATATTGTTTTTTGTCCCGTCTTATTCACAGACTTTTTCTTACGTAGATGATATAAAAGCTTTACAAACAACAAAATATTTGTTATAGTTCGTTATGCACATGATTTCCTAGTTACATTAAGAAATGTCTCCTTCGGAGGGCGCCTGGGTGGCTCAGTGGGTTAAAGCCTCTGCCTTTGGCTCAGGTCATGATCCCAGGGTCCTGGGATCAAGCACCACATCGAGCTCTTTGCTCAGCAGGGAGCCTGCTTCCCTTCCTCTCTCTCTGCCTGCCTCTCTGCCTACTTGTGATCTCTGTCTGTCAAATAAATAAATAAAATCTTAAAAAAAAAAAAAAAAGAAATATCTCCATCATTAAAAAAAAAGAAAGAAAGAAAGAAATAGTTCCATTATAAGTTGAGCTGGAGGCTGAGTCAGGTGGAGACAGCCAAATCGGACCGGACCCTGTAAGTTTTTCAGCTGGATTTACAACATCAGTATAAGCTTCACCACACCATAGGTCCCCAGATAATTGGTCCTGAGCTTTACTTGCTTAATTAGTAAAGCCACCTCATGGTAATAGCCAAACTGAACCTTTTAAATTAAAAAATAATTTTTTTTTAAGGGAGAGAGAGGGTAAGCAGGGGTGGGACATGGGGGAAGAGCCAGAGGGAGCAGGAGGGAGAGAATCTTAAGCAGGCTGCTCCACACCCAGCACGGAACCTAACAAGGGGCTCAATCCCACAACCCTGAGATTACGACTAGCGCTAAAGGAGTCGGGCACTTAACTGACCAAACCACCCGGGGGCCCCAGCCAAACTGAATCTTTTAACCACACACTTAATAATATTATCTGTAGCTGACATTATTGCCATAAGTAATCTGGTTTTATGTTGTGAAACACAGATACGTGGTTATTTTATATATATATATATATATATATATATATATATATATATATACACACATACACACGTGTAGGTATATATGTATATGTAGGTATATATATATATATATGTATACACACACACACACACACACGTAGGTGCCCCTTTGGCAGTATGCCTATAGTAGTAGGATTTGGGGACGTTAAATGGGGAGTGGATTCTGCTACGGAGGTAACTGAACTGTTTGTTCCCCAAACGAGCAGGAGTTCAGCACCATAGGGCCCACGTACTGGGTCAGCCGTTGTGGCTTGAGTGTCGGGCGGAAGCGGGCTCCCTGTGGGTGCCCTTATTTCTGGAATCCCCAGTGACGACTTCCTCTGTGCTTTCTGGAATAGGTGAATCAAAAAAAGAAGATGTATAAGAAGAAAAAAAAGAAGCCACTTCAGACAAGGAAACAGCGAAATGAACAGTATCAGAAAAATAATTTGATGAGGGAGTTAAAGTTAACAGAAGATATCCCGGTAAGAAGGCTCTGTTGCCTACCTCTGCCCTCTGGTCAAAGAGCATTCCATGGAGGGAGCAGGACAAGGAGATAAAGTTTACTCTAAACCAGAAGGGAATGGGTAATGGGGTAGAAGGAAGTTAATTTGAGTTCAGAGCTCTTCCATGAGTCCTCTGGACATCTCTGAGCAGATCTCAGCCTTGGCCCACTGATTCTGCACTACACTCTGGCATGGGTTTTGACCACGGTGGTTACCGGAGTAGTGGTGGCTGGAGCCAGTCCAGGTTTGCTGGGTAGCGGGGGTGTCCGGCCTCATCCAGTATAAGGAGGATGGGCTCCTTCCCAGTCTCCTCCCACCTACCATCCCCACTCCATGCCCCCTGCTTCCTAACGATGAAAATGCTTTCAGACATGGAAGTTTTACTGTTGAGTGAATTGGGTAGATTAATTGCAATGGATCAGTTGAAAATATTCTCTTTGCACTCAATCCCTCCAGGAAAGGGCAGGGTTTGCTTCTACTCTGCAAAAGCAGCCTACCTTTTTCAGAAACTCAGAGAATGCCAATTCTTCCACGATGCGAAATGAAAAACCAAGGTTGAATGAGGTAGTAGTTTTGCTTGCTTTTTTTTTTTTTAACTCTTTCATGGAAAATTTATCAGAACATTTTTTGGGTAATATATTTAAAGTGTACAATGTGGTATTTGATTTATTTACACATCATGAGAGGGTTCCCACCTGAGTTAATTAACACATCTACCACCTCAAGTAATTACTTTTTTTTCCTTTAATAACTGAAAGTTTATACCCTTTTACCATCTTCTCCCTATTTCCCCCACTCTCCAGCAACCACCATTCTACTCTCTGTATCTGTGAGTTTGATCTTTTTTTTTTTTAGGTTCCACACATAAGTGATACCATGTGGTGTTTGTCTCTCTATGGCCACTTTCATTAAGTGTAATGCCCTCCAGGTTCATCCATGTTGTCACAAATGACAGGATTTTCTCCTTTTTTAAAACTGAATAACACTATTTGCAGATATTTTCTCTCATTCCATAGGTTTTCTTTGGTTTTGGTTTTATTGGGGGGGTTAAATTATTTTTAAAGTAATCTCTACCCCAACCATGGGACTTGAACTCACAGAGTCACATGCCCTCCCAACTGAGCCAGCCAGGCACCCCTGCCTTCTGATTTTGTTAATGATTTCCTTTGCCGTGCAGAAGTTTTTAGTTTGATGTAGTCTCACTTGTTTATTTTTGCTTTTGGTGTCAAATCCAAAAAAATCATTGCCAAGGCCAATATCAAGGAGCTTATCCCCTCAGTGTTCTTCTAGGAGTTTTATGGTTTCGGGGCTTCAGTTTAAGTTTTTAATCCATTTTGAGTTGACTTTAGTGTATGGTACAAGACGGGGTATAGTTTCATTCTTTTGCATGTGGATATCTATTTTTCCTAATACCATTTATTGAAGAGACCTCTTTTCCCCATTGTATATATTGACTCTTTTATAAAAAATTAATGGATTGTATATGCGTGAGTTTATTTCTGAGTTCTCTATCCTGTTCCATCTTGGACTCTTTGTTGCAGATTCTCTGATTTTTCCAATTAGCAGGTCCCTTCCACCGGCTGAAGAATACAATAGGCCTCTATCTATGTCACCCTCCTGTCAATGCCACCAGGAGCAGGGGAATCTTAAAATTACTGGGGACATTGAAACTGCTTTGGATTAGACACTACTGAAGTCTAACAACCACTGGTGATTTGTGATTTTACACCTAGAACATAAAAACAGGCTGCTGCATCCTCTGTCTATCCCTCTGGTCAACAAATTGAACTGTGTTACCACTACATGCTTCACCTGCTACTGAGTGCTGGGAATGCAGCATTGAACAAAACACTATCTCTGCCTTAGGGACCTTGGAGTCTACTGGGGATTTTAACAAGGAAGCAGGAAATTATATCACAGAGTAGGATAAAGTAGGGGCACAGAGGAAAGGTGTGCAGTCATTTTTTAGTACTTTGGAATTGTGTGGCTCTAAAATCCTTGCTGGATTTAGTTTTTTAAGATTTATTTATTTTAGATTGAGAGAGAAAGAGAGAGAGCAAGAGGTACAGAGGGAGAGGGAGAGAGAGAATCTCAAGCAGACTCCCTGCTGAGCGCAAAGCCTGATGTGGGGCTTGATCGCACGACCCTGAGATCATGACCTAAGCCAAAATCAAGAGTTGGATGCTCGAGGCACCTGGGTGGCTCAGTGGGTTAAGCCTCTGCCTTCAGCTCAGGTCGTGATCCCAGGGTCCTGGGATAGAGCCCCGCATCAGGCTCCCTGCTCAATGGGAAGCCTGCTTCCCCCTCTCACACTCCCCCTACTTGTGTTCCCTCTCTCACTGTGTCTCTCTCTGTCAAATAAATAAAAACCTTAAAAAAAAAAAAAAAGAGTTGGATGCTCAACCGACTGAGCCACCCAGGTGTTCCTTTGGGTTTTTTATGTATAAAAATAAGCTTTGGTGGGGCACTTGGCTGGCTCAATCAGAAGAGCATGCCACTCTTGATCTTGGGGTCATGAGTCCAAGCCCCATGTTAGGCATAGGGATCACTAAAAATAAAAAATAAATTTTAAAAAAATGTTAAGTTTTGGTATACTAGTAGATAACTCTTAGTGGATAGGGTGGGAAACAGGCCCTTCTCATGCCGAATGCTACCCTTGGTTAGCAGGGATCTAAAGTGGTCCCACGGTGTTACACTGAAGAACCCCCACAGAGCATGGCCCGCATTGAGCGCCGTTCAGTGTCTAGTGTGATGGCGGCAAGAGCACAGCTTTCAAGTCTGTCTTGAGTTCAAATTCCAGCCTCACTATCGCTTTTCATGAGCTACTTAACCACTCCAGGACTTGGTTTCTGTATCTAAAATATTGGGGTAATAATACATGCATCATAAACATTGTTGAGAAAGTTAGATGAGAAACTGTGTGTCAAGTGCCTGCCATATGGTAGGCAACTCCATGAATATTAGTTTCCTCCTTTTCCTTGAATTATTATTCCTCTGTGGCTTGCCTCTCTTTTCCTGTTACAGTACTGTGATGACTTATCACGCAGGAATAAAAAACTCTCAGTGTCTATTCTGTGTAATGACACTTGTGCAAGTGGAAACGTTACTGAAAATGTGTTCGTTTATCTCCGCCACAGCTACATGGGAGAGACAAAGGCAGCTCCCTGGACCCATTGAAAATGACCTCCTTGATTCTGATGAAGAATAAAGAGAGAATGCAGGTATTTCCCCTACTGTGTTTACGTGGATGCCAGCAGCTAATCCGACTTGGCTTTCAAGTGTGTGACATGATCTGGAGGGGGAGTGAGCCACAGCCCACAGTTTCACCTCCTAGGATTTGCTCTGCTCAGGTGAACATCTAAGCTATCCGACCGCCAAGGAACACAGCCCACAAGGTGCTGCAGGACGGGAGGAATCCCACCTCTAGCCCTGGAGAATTTAGTTTCATTTTAGCGAACGATTGTTAGGTGGCTGTCGTTCTGTAAGTCCTTGGCAGCAGATAGTGAATAACGCAGCGGTTCTCGACCCTGGGAGATGTTAACAAGAACCCAGAGTGCCGCCGTCCATCATGAGGTGTGCCTCACGCCCACAGTTACCAGAGAGCATTCTGTACCGAGGTTTGTGAATGATTTGCTTTTTTAAAGGAGTAAGTTAGAATGAGCTTGTATTCTTCCCTCTAATAACATCCCTCTTGCTCATTTGCATTTGCATTTTCTTTCCTGAGAAGGAGGGAAAAGAGGTGGAGAAACAGCTAAGAATCTGTCGTGTCAAAGAGCCCTGAGGAGGCTATGGGTGGCTCACGTGCACTCTGGGCGAAAAAAGACTGAGAACCCGGACTCACATGGGTCTACCAGAGATAGAATGGACAGTTCTCCCACCAGGAGGTGACTGCTGTCTTTCCAAGGCTGCTGTTTGGGACTTCTCAGATCCGTGCTCCCATATACCTGTCAGTATCTTCTGGAGACCCTCCAAGATGCGGGACCCCTAAGGACTGTGAGACAGGATCCCTCCCTTAAGGCAGCAATCCTCTAGGAGGGGTGGAAGATATAGTGCGATAACCATGGCATCACAGAGCCTGGAGAGCACTGGGAAGACAGGTGTAGGTAAATTCAAATCAAGGAGGATTTCTGTCCTGACAAGCCGGTGAGCCTAGAGCTGCCCACCGGTGGGTCCCCCCTCCACACCCTGAAGGCATTCACTGCAGGAGGTCTCCACGTTGCTCAAGCCACATCCCACCCATTCTCAGAACCTGCTAGTTAGGCTATAACATGCAACCAGGGATTCAGTTAAACCCAATGTAGCAGGGGAATGCCATCCAGGCTTTTACCTTTGCCTCCATTTTCTTCTTCTTCTTCTTCTTCTTCTTTTTTTTTTTTTTTTTTTGATATTTTCTCTATTTGTTTAAGAGAGAGAGAGCATGAGCAGGGGGAGGGGCAGGGAGAGAAGCAGACTCCCACTGAGCAGGGAGCCTGACACAGGGCTCCATCCCAGGATCCTGTGATGATGGCCTGAGCAGAAGGCAAAGGCAGACGCTTAACCAACTGAGCTACCCAGGTGTCCCTACCTCCATTCTCTGGTAGAACATTTCTCTAGCGGAGACATAGGCATTTAACTCACATAGTAAATAAGCAGAGTCACAAACAGTGGGGCAATCTCCTCTCTTGTAGATCAAGTTCTTCTCTTTGTGTAATGTCTTTAGAGTTTATGAAATGCAGTCATGGAACTATGGGCCATTAAGGACCTTTCTTTGGCTCTCTGAAGGCAAATGCTTGACTCCCCTCTGCCCCGGAACATCAACTACTTTCTACTTCGGTATTTGAGGGGAAATGCAAATACTTCTCACTAACTCCTTGTAAAACCAACCCAGCCCTAACTATAACTTTAGAAATCGCAACCTAAAGTGATTCAACTTTTATATCTTGTTTGCACAGACAGAGAAGCCAGGATTCACAGTGTCGTGCTCTCCAAAGAGAAGCACAAATCCCAGCCAAGAGCCGGTTCCAGATATGAAGCCAAGCTGGTCCAGGAACACATATCCTGCCACAAAGAGGGGCTGCGCTGCCATGACAGTGTACCCATCCTTGCACATATACACATACCCATAGGCTGCCACATTTTGGGTGAGACACGTTCTGTAATGAGGGGAGTTGTACGACTGGGAGCTACGTTCACTTGCAGTATACTGTGTGGCGTGTTCATTGTGCACTGACCTTACACTGTGTGCTTGCGTTGCATGCGTGCCCTCCTGATACATACCTCATGCATTAGATTACTTTTCTCATAAAGTAAAATTTTATTATGATGTTGAGAAAAGCTTCCTTTGTCAGAAATTGAAGTGTGTGCTCATGAACCTACAGCCCAGATATACCTCACTTTAACCAATAGACATTCTCTCTAAAATTATGCGCAAATCAATTTTAAGAGCTCAGATTCTATTTTAAACATATTCTGGGAGTGTGCTTTGTTCAAAAAAAAAGTGTTGCATCAAAGCTTTCTAGCACCGAATGGTCAGTTAGTGATTTATCAGGTTTGCTCCTGCTGAGGTGTTACCACACAGAGAAAACAATTCATGTATTAGCCTGAGTTTAGTATGACTTATATTATGTTCAACACAGTGACGTACATTTCTTAGCCCACTGATTAAAATTCTTTCTCTCTAGCCAGTTGTTTCCTTTGATCTGTTAACTGCATCACCTTACATGAACGGATGTTTTATATTTTTATCTCTCTCGTGAGCAGCAAGCACAGCCTGTCGACTGCAGCCTGTCGTGTCCACAATTCCAGTGTCTGCGCCTTTTTTTTTTAATTAATAGACTTTATTTTGAGAACAGTTTTAAATTTACAGAGAAATTGAGGACATAGCTCAGAGAGCTCCCGAATACTGCCCACCCCACATCCCGCCTCACACACTGCGTGAATGTTTTTCAAGGTGATGATATCGGCCCAAGCTCTTTGTTGTTGTTTGGTTTGGTTTCTAATAGGGAACACCTCACGAATGTTCGTGTCTTCCTTCTGCAGGGGTCATGCTACTCTTCCCAGTATCTGTATCTCCTTGACTATATGCACTGCCAAAGCAGGTGTCTGCCCTTGTCCTGTTCCATACGTTACTCACATGCTAAAACCTAAACTCACACCCGAAAACCCAGCATTTTAAGTATCTAGAAAGCAAACAGCCAAAACCCCACTTTTGTCCCTAAGAGGGTATCTTTCAAGGACAAGTCCCTAAACAGTTACAAACTGCTGAGGGCCAACCTTTGAAAGTTGTTCGGAAATACTTGTTTTTGCTTCAAATAATTTTGGAGAAAGTTTGTAAAAAGTATCCCAGTATGATGTTATTTTTGGAATCAAAAACCAAAATATGCAGGGGCACTGGGGTGGCTCAGTTGGTTAAGCCTCCAACTCTTGATTTCAGCTCAGGTCATGATCTAAGACTGAGATTGAGCCCCATATCCGGCTCCACGCTCAGCTCGGAATCTGCTTGTCCCTCTACCTCTGCTTCTCCCCCCTCTCATGCACTCTCTTTATGTCTAAAATAAATTTTAAAATAAAATCTTAAAAATAAGTTAATCTTTGAAAAATCAAAATATGTGATCAGATTCTTCCTCAGAACTTATGGAATTTCTTTTTCTGTTTTTTTTTTTTTTAAGATTTTATTTATTTGAGAGAGAGAGCATGAGAAGAGGGAGGGTCAGAGGGAGAAATGACTCTCTGCCGAGCAGGGAGCCTGATGTGGGACTCAATCCCAGGACCCTGGGATCATGACCTGAGCTGAAGGCAGTCGCTTAACGAACTGAGCCACCCAGGGATCCTGGAATTTATTTTTCATAAACCATGCCCTTTTATATTCAACACTGAGGATTTTATGGTCTGAGATGATTGGTCATAGTGAGTTGGCAACGTATAGAATAGAATCGTAATATAGCTTTTGTACTTCACCCATTAGACTACTTGGAGTGATGGAGTGATGAAATTTTGTCTGCTTAAGCAATCAAGATCTGTGGGGTTATGATTAGATTTTTTAAAATTCCTTAAAAAAAAAGAGAGATTTTAGGAGCACCTGGGTGGCTCAATGGGTTAGAGCCTCTGCCTTCAGCTCACGTCATGATCCCAGGGTCCTGGGATTGAGCCCCACATCAGGTTCTCTGCTCTGCAAGGAACCTGCTTCCTCCTCTCTCTCTGACTGCCTCTCTGCCTACTTGTGATCTTTGTCTGTCACATAAATAAATTTTAAAATCTTAAAAAAAAAAAAAAAGATTTTATTTGAAAGAATGAGAGCACGAGTGGGGAGAGGAGCAGGGAGAGGGAAAGAGAGAGAATCTCGAGCTCACTGTATGGTCAGCACAGAGCCCAACACGGGGCTCAGCATCACGACCCTGAGATCATGACCTGAGCTGAAGTCGAGAGTCAGACACTTAACCGACTGTGCCACCCAGGCGGCCCTTTAAGTACTTTTTGAAAGGAAAAAACTTCCTGAGGTGGGGGCCAGAGGGAAAGCTTCCTGAGACGTGGTTTGGATGCTAAGATATTGAAGGGGCAAAAAGGAGAGAATCCATGCAGTCCAGGCACAGCCTCCACATGTAGTAATCGCCAAAAAGTGTTGTGGTTTGAGCTGAGCCCTGCTCAACGCACCACCCTGCAAAGGAGCAGCTACATATTTTCTTTAGAAGAGAGGCAAGTTTTCCTGCTCCGGTGATTAGGAAGAAGTGCCCCATCCGGTATTTACATGCTGCAGCCTCTGGCAGCCGAATGCCAGTCATTTCTCATCGTCCTTTTTTTTTTTTTTTTTTTTTACTTATTAGAGAGAATGGGAGAGAGCGGGCACAAGCAAGGGGAGCAGCAGGCAGAGAGAGAGGGAGAAGCAGGCTCCCCGTGGGGCAGAGAGCCAGATGCAGGACTTGATCCTGGAACCTGAAAGCAGATGCTTAACCGACTGAGCCAGCCAGGTGCCCCTCACTGTGCTATTGGTAGGAAGCTGTGAGGGGTGCCTCTAGCTGGAAAGTTGAAAATGATAAACTAATTGATTCTGTGTGAACATCACAAATGCTACAGGACAAACAACCCAAAGCATCTTGATCACTAAGAGTGAATCAGGAGAATGGAATCAGGGAAAAGTAGAAAAAAGAGCATTTTAGTCAGGTCAGAGACCAAGATCAACTTGACATTCAACAGTTGTCGAAAAAGGTTAGGGTGAGGGGGTGGTGCCTGGCAGGCTCAGTGGTAGAACATGTGACTCTTGACCTCAGGGTTGTGAGTTTGAATCCCATAAAGATTAGTTAAAATATATACATATTTTTTTAATGAAAAAGGGAAAAATAATGTATTTCATACTCTGTTTTCTTTATAAGTTGAATGCATAGTCACAGATAGCATTTAAGACTCAAGATGGATTTCAGGTGAACATGTTTTCTTTAGAAGTCTTATTTTGGGGACCATGTGGTCACTATTGAGGTTCTGTGTCAGTATTCCTTTCTGTCTTTGGAGAAGGGACACCTCTTAAAAGTGGCAGAAACAATTCCAAACAAGTAAGGTGATGACATTGAGCATTCCGCTTAAGTTTCTGGTGGAACATTAGATACAGGAACTCTGTATGGACATACAGGCTCCTTGAAAAAAAAAAAAAGTCTAGGTGCGTGTTTGTTTTTTCCATTTGTCGTTAAAAAGGTGCAACAGGGTGCCTGGGTGGCTCAGAGGGTTAAGCCTCTGCCTTTGGCTCAGGTCGTGGTCTCAGGGTCCTGGGATTGAGACCCACATTGGGCTCTCTGCTCGGCAGGAAGCCTGCTTCCCCCTCTCTCTCTGCCTGCCTCTCTTCCTACTTGTGATCTCTCTCTCTGTATCAAATAAATAAAAAAATAAAATCTTTAAAAAATTTTTTTAAAATTTTAAAAAGGTGCAAGAATTTTGGAGATCTCCTGGTACCTGGCCACTCTGATACTACCGGTGATCTCTGGCTTAATGATGTCACCAATGTTGATCCCAGCTTTCAGCAAAAATGCCACACAAAAGGCTCTGCTTTACAGAAATAAAACTGCTACTTCTGGTTTTCCAGGCTGTTCTCAGACTAGTTGTGCTTTCATTCCCTAGAATAGCAGAGATGTTTCCAGAGCTCAGAGACTTGGCACTTTCTGCACAGGATACCTTTGATGCCAGAAAGCTTACTCTGTCCTTTAAGCTACAAAGGCAAACTATAAGGCATGGCTGGGTTTAGCTGAGCTACATTCCACGAGGGACCTATTTCTTAGTGGAATATTCCTGGGGAAGATAAGCCCGCCTCTGTTAATACTTGATGAGGCCCAGCATCTTCATCCCCCTTTTTTCACCTTGATGCTGCCTGATCAAATAAAAGGAAGCTCTGAATTAATTTTCCCCTTTAAGTGGGTTCCAGCTTAACTTTGTGTAGCTGAGTCACCTCGTCTGTGAGAAACAATCTTCTTTGTGAAACTGGGTTCAGAAAAGGATTGCTTTTAAAATTTTATTTATTTATTTATTTATTTATTTGTGAGAGATCATGAGAGGGGAGAGGGAGCCTGCTGCTGGACTGGATAGGGGACTCCCAGATCATGACCTGAGTCAAAGTCAGTCGCTTAACCCACTGAGCCACCGAGGTGCCTGGAACAGCATTGTTTTAATTAGTATATCTACAGACAAAGCTCTGGGGACAAAGCCTACACCACGTGTCCAGAGTAATGCTTGCTTTAATAAGAGTCAAAAGAAAGGAAGATCCCCAAGAATATAAAAAGAAATAACGCTACTTGGAAATTCAGACTCCCTGGGACCCTTCTTCCCTAAGATACGAACTCTTCCCATTGATCCATCCATCAGAAAGAACGCACCAGCAGACGCCATTCCTGCCCTCCTGCTTCAAACCCAGGTAGGAAAACAGAATTTGTTCTGCACTAAAACACACCAGTCCGGGAGACATTCTGCTAGCTTCAGAATGTGGTAGTGGGTTAGACAGAGCCTCCAACTTAAGTTTAAAGCCCCTGGGTCTGAACCCCACCCAGGCTGGTGGGGGAGGGAGTGCAGTGGCTTCACAGCTCCCCACCTGTTTCCTGCCCTTACAGTAAATTGACTGTCCTGAAATAATCTCCACAGTCTGTTCATTTTT